CCCCCCCCAGCGCATCACCAGGTCCAAACGCACGTCACACGGCACCGAACCTCACTTAATCCCTTCACCCCTAAGCTGACATTGTGGTGGAAGCTACGTGCTTGCCGGACATTCAGCCGCCTCCCTTTCATCACCTGACCTCATTCTCTGCGCGTGGGTATGCGCGAGAGAGCGTGATCATGTGGCAAAAATGTGGCTGGCCCAACAAGCACGTAGCTTCCGCAGCACTGTCAGCTTCGGGGTGATTGAGGTGGGGAAAGCAACTTTTGTCTGAATTTTGAGCGACGGGCTAATCTTCTAGGGGGACAATGGCTGTGTCCCGGTACTCAAACGAGAGTCCGAGCAAGAGGGGACTGCCCCGTTTCCATCTTCTTGAACTGTTTGGTAGAATGCGCGATTTATGAGTTGAAGAGGAAAGCTAAACAGGAAAAAGTTGGAAAAGCGTTTCATGACTCCTTTAATTCATACTTTAGTACTTGCGGCCCTGTTGAGTATGCTTCTCTCTGAGCACCGGTGCACCGCAGAGAAGCAATACCTGCGGAGCTTGCTTTCATGAGTGTTGTTTCTCCGCAGTGCACCGGTGCTCATAAAGAAGCACACTCAACGGGGCTCAAGGGGGCACACATTAGCGGAAAACAGCGTTCACATTATGTGCTTCAAGACTAGCAATGATGACCAAGACGACATCGAGGATGAGGACCAGCTCACTGGCATCATGCTTTCTGGCCTTGAAGCACATAATGTGATTGCCGAGCTGGCGGAATATGCTAGTCTTGACAATGATGTGAGTGTTTGTCGTGATGACTCATTAGAGGACATAGTACAGGAAGTAACGCCAGCAAAGCGCAGCAGTGAGAGTGAAGATGACGATGAAGAAAGAGATGACTTGGTACCAACTGTCACAGCCATAGCTTTGAGCACATCGCTCAGCTCCGGAAGTTTCTGTCTGTCTTGGATTGGCATCATACACGACAGTGGTAGGAACATTACTTGTGTCGAGCTAGAGAAACCATATTGGGGGCTACCCCAGCTACGTCCACACTGGCTTTCATGGCAGTTATGTGCGATGCAGACAGCTTTCACTATTTCAACCGAGTGCCTAGGCAAACACAGAAGCAGCCACATAAGACAATCAGGAAAAGATGCCGAGTTGTACAGGCTAAGGAGGAAGGACATAGTGCAGCGAGCTATGTAGTCCAGGCTATTCCTCCGAGAAATGCAGTCGGTGGAAATGTAGGTCAGTTATTCCCGCCACTAATTTAGGTAACTAATGCAAACATTACACTATTGTGCATATTTCTCTACTGCAATGCTAGTCACCCACAACGGAAAAAACGCCACAAACTAAAAGGAAGTCTGGTTGCATTGTTAACACGGACATCAAGTCCATTAGGAAAAGCCAGCTGTGCCATCCACCTGTTCATAAGCGAGCTGGAGTTCATCAAAGCACAACCGAAAATCTCTTGGAAGTACTTGGTTCCTTTTCAGTAGTTATTGAATGAAAACACAGTGCTGTGGTGATTACCATCAGCACAGCCTTGCCACTGGCACTGCTGTCCCTCGGGTGGCACATGCACGACATGGCCTGCAAGCCACATATATCCCTAAAAGAAAGCGGCATAGGATGCACTTACCGTGGCTAGCGTCGCCACCCAGCGAGCTTGCACAAACCCTCTGCATGGCACGCAGTGCTGTTCAGAAGAGAGCGGCACTGGCTAGCCAGTTAATGCGAAGGCTTGTAGTGTCTTGCTGCTGCCTTGGCAAAGCTGCAAGTCACCTCTTTCACGCCTTGTGGTGCCCATCAGCTTCAAAAGAAACGGTGTTGAATCGTGACCAGCTATAACCTGTCGCACAAGGGAGAAAAGGGTGTAAATGTGCAGACTCCTATCTGTTTGCTTCTGTCTAGCGTGTGAGTTTTGTTTGAGAAGAAAACAACAATGACACTTCTTTCACAGTAATATGCAAAACAAAAACGAGAACGGCTCGGTTATTAATAATCGCTTATTAATAAGTTGTGTGCAGCAGAGGCACGGGTGCGAGGGCGTAGCTCCGCAGAACGTTCTTTTTGCACGGCTGCTCGTGCAAAAAGGGCGCTTTTGTGCTCGCGCCTGTGCCTTCTTGGCACACAACCTATGTTACAGAGTGTATAGCACGCCTTCGAGAGCACTCGCGTGCGGCGAGAAATCCATAATATACAGGGTACGATCGCAGGAAACCTCGCAGGGGTGCAGGAAGCTGCAAGTGCACGGTGCACCAGAATGTGAAACTAGAGGTGGCGATAGAATTTCACAGTTTGAGAATATGACGTTACTTGGGTCAAAATATAGAAACGAAAAACGTAACTGCCTTACCGGCTGATGATAAGGGCCATCGGAGCACGACCAACTATTTGTTGTGATCGGGGCATTCGATTGGACGCGGGTTTGTAAAGATTTGAAAAACAGGAAAGAATAAAACATGTAGGGACGAAGACAGACAGCGCAGTTCTTTGTTGCCATGAAATGTAAGGTCAAGCACATTATTCTGTCTGATCAAATGGTTTTGTTGAATTAGGTTTAGCTCGCAAGTCAGCCGTTCTTCGGCGGGCTTTCAGCTTTCTGCGATGGTTGTTTTAATCGTGAACGCAGGCTCAAACAATGTAGGCAGCGGCGCAAAATAGATCTGAAACGAAGAAACAGCTCGGACGCGTGGAACGAACACACATAGAGATCACATCACAGGAAAACTCAAACCACTCTCCTTTCGTTCGACGACGGTTCGTCAGGCACGATGTTTCCGATGTTTCTCCGGGCGTTGAGGAGACCGCGTCTGTTTCCGTGCTCCCATTGGTCGTGACGTCACCAAATTTCATCCAATAAAGTGCGCGCCGAAGTTTTCTCTAGTCGCCGGTCATGCAGACAGATTTTATCCTCGACAGCAGTACCCCCGTACCACCCGTACCACCAGTTCTACAAGTTCGGTTCTAAAACTTAGAACTAAATAACGTAATTTTTTTTAACGCAAGTTATATATACAAGCAACAAATTGCAAGAAAAAAAAAGTTCAATTTATTACCCACAAGCAACGTTGCCCACAGGCTACAAATGGGAGCATCAGTTTTCTGAGGCGTTAACCAGCGCCACCTATGTTTAAGGCCAATATTTAATGTAGAGCGGGATTTTTGAAAGCGACCACCATGATCCGCTACAAAATGGTTAATAATAATAATGAATTATTTACACATTTTCGTTTCTCCCCTCCTCAACGTGTGAGGCTAGGCAGCAAGGTTAGAATCAAGGCTAGGAGCCTTACGGAAGTGTGTTTGCTGGTGCGCCACTTTCTACCGAAACTTGCACAACTTTAGTGCATTCACCAAATACTGCAAGCAGAAAAAGCAGAGCAGCAACCGCACATCCAGCTCGCCAAACAACTGAGGAAGGCCTCGAGCACTTCAATCGGAAGTTTGTAAAAGGCTCAGGGGATCGTCACATCCCGACCTTGGCTCCATTGTCATGCGTCCTGCATTCTGTGACATGCAGAGACATGCTGACCAGCGGGCATCTCGCTGACGCGTCGTTCATTCTAGTGCTGTCTCTTAGTGCGGGTGGTTTTGCTTTTCTTACGGCCTTTTTGTGTTTCGGTGCGGTCTTTAGAATGTTATGATGTGATCGCGATGCCTCATACGAAAGTGTCGTCCCAACAATGAATATGAGGTGTGCCTGTTAATGTCATGACAAAGACTTGCGGACACTGGATAAACGCTGTGCAACGACAGGATTTCTTTTGCAGCATTCACAGGTGAGAAATTTTCTTGCTAAATATTTCGTCTGTCGTGCAAAGCAAGGTAAAGAAAAGGAAAAAAAAAATCCGCGTGCCTATGACGCTTTTTTGCACATTAGAATTGTTGCTTTACTCTTGTTAATAGGTATACCATTATTGGTATAACCATGGCCGACTAGGTAGCGTGTCTGACTCGCAAGCAATCACGCTTGCATGGCTTGGGAGGAAAACAACACATGCTCAACAAAGCTACCAGGACATATTTTCTACAATCCGAATCAATGGTTGATGCTCCAGAAAAAAGCTGTCCTTAGTTTTTTTATTTTTTTTTTATTCAATACCTAGAAATAAATAGACGAAACTATAATAGGTTTAAACAAAATAAATTAATTAAATAAAACATAATATCTCACAAGGGTTGGCATTCTAGAGCAGCACATCAATTGTTGAAAATGTAAAATGATGGTGATAATAGTAACAAACATCTGAAGTACATACGTGGAACCATTATTGACGGGGAGAAAAAATGGTTTTGTGGTAGCCTACGCTGCCTCCTGCACAAACATAAGGACTGCAGCTTTCCAACTGGTCTTTTCAGACTAACTTTGCAAGTCAAGGCTAGAAAAACATAGTTATCACAGTGCAAAACAAAATAATGGCAAATAAAGAAGCTATTTTCATCTTTGAGTAACTTGGTCATAAATTCGTCATGGTCATAAATTCATGCTTCAGGATCAGTTTTGGGTAGCTCACGAGATGGCCTCATAACACCTGCATATTTTGGTGACTGCTGGTGAGAACTACCAAACACACAAAACCAGCCTTGGTCCTTACCACTGTTCGCGAGGGCACACCACCCCTACATGGAATGATACTGTCATCATTGACAAGTCCGCACACCTGACAAGATCCAAGAGCTGCTCCCATGGCCCTGTCATCAAATAGTACCTCATCTTGTTGCTGCCACGTGAAAGCTGAAGTAGACATCTGTACAGGCATTTCAACCTTTCTGCTCGCTTTGTTTTGGCACTTGTCAGGCACATGAGCCATCTAAGAATGTCTGTCTCGGTACTGATATATCTCGGCTCGATTGCTCAGCATCAGTTGAGCGAGCTTGCTGAAACTTGCCGAAGAGACCAGTTCTATCCCACTAGTAACCCCAAAAAATTATGCGTACCAATACTTTTTCTCGTCGTATTCAGCTAGTACTCAAAGTTTGGGCATAGATAAATCATGCCCAGTATGAACCAGGGTATATTATGGTGACTGTGCTCCACACTGCAAGTTGTGTGCACACTGTCAAAGGCACAGGTGTGAAAATTCTGCTCTGCAACTTGCCCTGTGTACTCAAGCCCTTACAGACGACAAGCACTTTCCACAGCAATGAACACCCACCCGTGCCTCCTGCAGTGTTGCACACAGCTTCGGAAATCAAGTGTACACCGTCCCAGTCTTCTACACACTGCCGTCATTGTCTACTGGCCTGTGGAACATGTCCCCAGCTTGCGCAGCGGCTCTGCTCCGCAGAATATCAGACGACGCACATGCATCCACAGCTCAACGTCATCTTTCACGCGGGAGAAACGCTGGAAAGGTGCGTAACCTCCAGACCAACTTGATGCCTTCCATCCTCAGAACGGTTGGCAAGACATAGCCGTTTCGCCACTTTAGCCATCTTCCATCTAACGGGGAGTGTTTTCCTTTCTAAACAAAAAGATGCACTCGTCTTAAAAAGAATGGCAACTCATCGCGTTTTGGGGTACGCCAGCAGTGCCGGATTGGGATACTGGGGCTTCTTCAGCACCCCCTTCCCAAACTTAAACTCCAGAAACTCCGTGACGTTATTGGGCGCCGACGCGAACACGCCTACGAACAGGATCGTCGTTAGCGGCTTCAGGAATCTCTCTGGAAACTCGCAGTCCTGCGGGTGCGTCGGGAACCACGTGTCCTTCGTCATGATCCCGCCCTCTTTCGCGCGGAACGGAAAGATGTCGACGTGGACGCGGTTCGACCGGCTGTACTGGACGCGGAAAAAGTCACCCTCGACGGCTTTTTCCCAGACGAACCCGTCGGCGTCCACGATGGATTGGCGCCGCGCATTCCGCAGCCACTCGCACTTCTCCACGTCTTCCGCGTACACCCCGACGTCAACGTCGTAGTCCCACGGAATGATGTCATGGTTGCGCGCGGCGCCGAGGAGACTGCCTCCTTCGAGCCAGTAGCGGACCTTACACCTCTCGAGGATGGCGAAGACGTGGCGGGCGGTGCGCCGCAGGTTCTCGAGACAACACGGCGGCGTCCAGCGGCCGCGGTAGAGATAGTCCGGCGTCTCGTCGACAACCGTGGCGAAGCAACGTGGCGTGGAGCGGTCGCAGCCGTGCCACTCAATTTCTCCGCCTGGAAGGTGGACTTTCTTGATGCCGAACTCTTCGTAGAGCTGAGCCTGCCGCGCCGTTGTGGCGGCCCGCAGCTTGTCGCGGTTGTGGCTCGTTGTGAAGAGCGTGCGGCCGTTCTGGGCCACATAGTCGTCTATGATGTGGATCTGCGTGTGGAAGGAAACACACCTCTTTTGTCGTGGTATGTACTGCCAACTAAGACTGGCTTGCACATTTGCATTTGAGTCTGATTGACTGCATTGTATATAACAAGAAGACATTGGAACCAGCTATCGGCACCATCAGGTCGCCCAGGAACACTTCCGACTAGTGTACAACTATACATTCATTGTCATAATTATCTTAAGCTTACGGTGAAAGAACTATGTATAAGAAATTATCATATATGCTGATCGAAAGGTTTCCAGGGCTAGCTAATAGGTGGCACCAGAGTGTTCTCCCTTCTAAAATCTTTCTACTTTACTGAAATGTAGCACACACTATTGTATGAAATGGGGAAGAGAAATTCCTCCTTGCCCATGCCCTTTCCCTCTAAATATGTGTCTTCTCCCTCGCTTCAATTGGATGGGGCACGACACGTGAACTTCCCATGATCCTGCACGATTCGGTGATCTGCTCTGAACCGGCGCCATTTTCGTGCAAGGTATGGTGGTAGCTCGGTTGCTTACAACCCAACCGCAACTTTTTTTTTTTTTTTGTACAACGAAGACATTGGCTTTTTTGGATCAATCTGAAAACTTTCGACTGCCTTCGAGGGAGATGAGTGTATTTGATGGGTAGTTAAATGCACGAGGCGCACAAATGGCAGATGTCGCATATTCCTCCGTGCACATGCGCACAGTTGCAGGTAGTTTTTGATGGTCATAAAATGCGTATGAAGTAAACCAAGCTGCTGGTTTGGCAAAACGAGCAATAATGCTAAAAAATACCGAAGAGTCCTCGGTTTGCAAGCATTGTGCTGTCTTTTATTTGCCTAACTCGTGCGATGCCGAGTCTGCAAATGCACTTCGTTCAAGATACTAGAAAATTCTAGTAGAGCATACACTAAGGACTGCGAGCCTTGCGGGCACGTGCTCAATCCATTCTTAAAGCGATGGTACGAGCTCCCGCTAGCAATGCAGTCCTAGCATACAATCCACTAAAACTGTCTATTTACACACAGGAAGAGGTGCATTCTATTGTGTGCCTGCTCTCAACACTCGCTGCACTAATCAGGTAAATGGAATATATTTTTGCAGTGTATGTCGATGTTCCAAAATACTCAAGACTACGGTGGCATTTTTTTTACTCGTCTCTGTTCAGTGGGATTTGAAAAAGCTTGTCTTCACACCCCAGTGACTCCAACTGCTCGTGTTATTACGTTTGCCGATCGAGACGTCTTCCCGTGCTCTAGAACACCAATAAAGGTGCACAAACGCTAGTTTCTTCATGTCTAAAAACACAACTATTTTCATATTTAAAAAAGAAATGCTCTAGTCCGCGCATTCAAAAGCAAACAAGTACGACCCTGCAGGCATTGGCGCGCGTGTACACGCGCCTTGCATGAAAATAGCAGCGGGGGAGGACATGGCATGGAAGGAGCGAGCGCAAGGAGGATTGCCCTCGATGGAAAGGGGGAAAATGCGGGGAGAGGAAACATGGTAGCCCCAGTGTGCAATTAGCCCCCAACCACTTCCAGTCATCTTCTGGAAATGGCCACTTGTGCAGAGGGCATGTTCGTCTGCTTCTTTTGAAAGGGGTTGTGGTGACATCAGAACGACGCCAAGTTTTGATTGGCTTTGATCGTAGGATAGTGGGCAGACCTCAAAGCAAGCTGCCTTGAGTTCTACCCACTATCCTTCAATCAAAGCCAATCATGCCTTGACGTTCTGATGTCACTGCAACTCCTTCAAAAGAAGCAGACAAACTTGCGCTCTCCATAGCACTGTCACACTTGAAGGGGCACGAAAGCGCTTTCTGAGGTTCCCATTTTATGGTCTTAACTCAATCTACAAACTCTAAAAACCCAGAATTACATTCATGCGCGGCCGATTTGCACATGAGAAAAAGTGACCAAAGTCCCTGACACTTACCGTCGGCGCAGAACACCAGATGGCGCTACCGAACCTTGCCAAACATGGTCGAACGACAGACGGCGCGTGCCAGCCGCTGGCGAGCGACGAGTTCCCGCGTGGACAAGTGGGACTGGTAGGCTGCTCGTCCACGCGGGCACCCATCTCTCGCGAGTGACTGACAAGCGCCGTCCGTTGTTCGACCATATTCGGCAAGCTTCGGTAGTGCCATCTGTCGTTTTGCGAGGACGGTAAGTGTTGGGGACTTTGATCATTTTATCAATTTGCAAAATGGCTGGAATGTAATTTTGGGTAGTTTAGGATGATTAGAGCTCACAGATTGAGTTATGACAATAAAACAAGGATCTCTAAAAGTGCTTTGAGCCCCTTTAATTTACTCTTATGAGTAAAGCATGATGAGTAAAAAATTAGGAAATATATGTGAACCGGAGCCTGCACCACTGAGTTTCTAGCCAGACGAAAAGGGGCGGATACATGTCAAACTCGGAAGTGTGAACCTGAACATCAGTGCAACTACCGCAACAAGCGCTGCTGCTTCGAGAAAGGCGCTGGGACGCGACCACCATCGCCCATACTCGCCTTAGCGCCCCGCAGCGCCGTCTGGACGTGCAAGGCCTGCGGGAATGGCCTCAGCATCGGATCGCTCAGTCCGAGCACCAGGCTGGACTTGGCCAGGAGCAGGTGGCGCTCGGCGAACGCGTCGCACCTCGACTCCGCTTTCTTCGCAGCCTTCCTGTACACCAGCGTCCACTCCTTGAGATTGACGTCGAGCAGCAGACAGTGCCTCTTTTCGCCGGCAACCCGCACCGCCACCATATCGCCGGGGTGCTTATAAACGTGCTTCACCATCGTAGTCACTATCGCCGGCTGCGTCATCCGTACCGAGTCCGGCGCGAACATCACCATGTCGGTCTTGATGTAACTGCTAAGCCGCGTCGCGTTCGCCGGTAAACTAGGGTCCTTGGCGAGCGAGACGACGCTCACGTTGAGCCCGAACTCGTCGGCGGGAAAACGGATCGGCGGGTAAGGTACGCCGTCGGCGAACACCACGATCGGCATTCGAGGAAATACCGTATGAAACGAGCGCACGGTCTCGATCAAGTCGTGCTCGAAGGGTTCGAACTCCCGCAAGACCAAAGTTAGCAGCGTGTTGGGCAGGTTGTAGATATTGTCGAGCGGCGACTGGATGGCCACGTTGCGACCGGCGATGTCGTCTTCGAGGGACGACGCGTCGGGCGATTTAATGCGGCCCATTTGACGGATCCGAGATTTGGGAGGCGCCGACGCCGGCGCGGCTGCGGAGTCGCTCGATTCGTCGTGCGAGCAGGGGCATTTGCTGTCCAGTAGCGACGTCCACATAAGGAACACCGAAAACAGGTTGACGCAGATGAGGCCCAGAAACATGCGTTTCCATTTGTGGCGCATTTCCGGGCCGCTGCTTTGTTCTAGCGCACTACGCAGAACGTCGCCGCAACGCCGAGTTGAGATCGCGCTGCCAGAGCGGGTCGGTCGCCATGTTTGCGGTCCATGTTGCTTTAGACAGCTTTGGCCACGCTAGTGATCATTGGCTTTGGCTAATATTGAGCGTAAAATACTAAGTAGTGATCTGTGTAGCGGGTGTAACGTGTGCCCCTATATTTAGCCGACTATTTATTTTTATTTAAAGGCTTTTTGTTGTTTTTTTAGTTTAAAGTCTTCATTTGGCAAGTGAAACATTTACCCATTTACTCCCGTTGTGGCTTTGGTCGATTCTTGGCTTTTCACTTGGCTTCAGCCGATGGAGCCGAGTTGTCCTCGTCTTCCACAGCCGTCGTTTTTGAACTGTTCTTGAACTTTGAGTGAGGCGATGTGCGCTGCAGAACGGAACCTCGGCGAGAAATTCCTCACAAGCATCCAGAAGGTGTTTTCCAGAGGCACGGATGCTTTCAGGCAAGTTAATATCCCACTCTGGTGTTTATATTTGCGGGTAGACGCAAATCTAGCCGCCTTCGTCTCGACTCGGTGTTCGAACGCGGATGCCGAACGCAGGGGCCCTATGTTGCGCTTTTTGGACTACCACGGCGACTAGGGAGAACGAAGTGACGTAGGTGTAAATGAACGTATCGCGGAAACTCGCCTGACGCCGTGACGACATCGCAGAAATTCGTCATCAGCGACTCCACCAATCAACATACAAAGAGCGTTGTTGACCTCGCTTCCCTCGCCCTGGGAGTCCAAAATCCGCAACATAGGGCCCCAAGACGCCGGCGTTCCAACAGCGAGTAGGTCCAAGGGCTAATCATTCCAGTCAGAGCTCGGTGTTCTGACGCCCCGCGCACTCTCGTCTCCTCAAACCTCAAAATAGCAATTTTTTTGCAGCAAAGCTGTTAAAGGGCTAGTTTCCCCAGTATCGTGTCCGCGGCGGGCAAACAAATGTTGGCAGAAAACTCTGGACAGCTACCGCCATCTATGAGCGATGGCAGCAACCAGACACAACCGGTCTGGTTGCCACCATCGCTCATAGATGGCGGCAACGTTTCCATATAATTAGATTTATAATGTTGGCTAGGTGGCACAAGCCACCGCCCGATTCACAGGGTTTAGCCAGATCCATCCATCCATCCATCCATCTCCACTCTGGTTTTCACCAGAGTGGAAAGGCTGAATTTCTCTAAGCGTCGTTTTAGAGGTCGTCCTAGACGTCGTCCCTGAAGTCGTCCTAGACGTCGTCCCTGAAGTCCTAGACGTCGTCCGAGGCGTCGTCCGAGGCGTCCTCCTCGAGGTCGTCCTGGAAGTCGTCCTAGACGTCATAAAGATAACGGCTTCGCTGGTCTTCCATCTTCACGTAAAATAAAAAAACCTCAACAATTTTTTTTTTTTTTTCTTCTTTCTTGGTGGGGACTGAGGTGGCTAAAATGCCCATGACCATGACCTAGTTGGGGTGCGGAGGGGGGGAAGGTGCGCCAAACATGCCTCGCACGTGATGTCATATGGCACTGTAGCAGCCGCCATTGCTCCGGACCATTCCTCTGCCCGTACGTTCTGCAGCATAAATTTTTTCACCATCAAATTTCTTCTCGGCAAGGCTTGCCGTGAAGAAGAAATGGGATGGTGCCAAAATTATGCTGTAGAAGGTCCGGGCACCGGAGCGTAGTCCGGAGCAATGGCGGCCGATGTGACGTCAGTGCAAGCCATGTATCCAGGCTCGATCTAAAATGGAGCGTAAAAATTGACCCCTGCCCAAAGCAGTCTAAACTTTTCGTCAAAGGTGTATTTCACAGGTCTGTTCTTTCTCAAGAAAATTACAAAGCGTAACTCCCTTTCTGTAAAAAATAGGGCCCAAAATCTTGCCAGGGTCAAAGTCGGGCAGTTGCATGTGACAGAGCTTTAGTCGTTTGGCGCGTGTGACGACCGTGGTGCGGTTCTATGCGAACGGAGCGCAAGACGGCGCAAACCGTTTGTGCAAAGCCGCCTGCCTCCCATGGACTAAATTTACGGCGGTGTCACGCGTGCCTCAAATGCCTCGTAAGGTCTGTGTTTTGTGAACCGGCATTTAGCAAAACTGGTGCGTGTACGTTAGCACGAAATCTTGCTTTAGCCGTACGTGCCAATTGAAGCGCCTGTGCCTTTTTCTTTTTTTAACTTCTTACAGTCCACGTCTGTTGTTTGCACTGTGTCCCAAGATGAATTCCCACCAACTCGCCCAACTATCCATTCTTCTTACAAACTTTCAGGCGCTCGTCCTCCAGCTTCAGCAAGTATGGCCCTGGAATGGACGTCCTCTTCGGCGAAGTCACCAAGGGCCTCGAATCGAACGTCGACAAGGAGTTCAAGCTCGTGCTGCAAGAGTATGGGTTGCTCGAAAAGTTTGCCTTGTTGTCGAGGTTGGAAGCAGCGCAGGAACAGTATAAGGGAACACGGGCTTGGCAAGTATTTGCAAGTTGCACTTCCGAACTTGTAGAAGCTACTATAGCCGGTGACAAGTCAAGAACGAAGTGGAAGCTCCTCCTCTCTCTTTCCACTTTAGTAGCGCAAACGCTGGAAAGGAGGCGACCTCCTCTCACCGTTCGCTCCGCTGAAGTGGAAAGGGGTGGGAGGAGCTTCCACTTCATTCTTGACCTGTCATTCGCTAGATGTATTCTACGGCGAGCTCCAGACTGCTATGCGGTCGTGAGAAAAATCATATAGATGAGCCAATGGATTGAGTGTCGCAAAACTTTTCACGAGTGTGTTTAGGTGTAAATTTTTCTGGGGGAAAAAAAAAGAAATGAGAGATTCTATATTTCTCATGCAATGGAAGAGAAAGGGAACAAACGTTAGGTTGACACTACTACTCGCATATCGTATTACACCCGCTTGGATGTGCTTTAGGCTGTTTGTCTCTAAAAAGCTTTACAGTTTTTGTACCATGCAGTGCCGTATGTATGTACCGGCAGCATTAACCCGACTGTTTGCTTCTCTTTTCCTCCAGCACATAAAAAATTAGGTTTTCTTTTCTCGCATTTTCTTCCCCAGAAATCTATGCATAAAATTTCAGTACAATGAAAGTGCCACAAAAAAAAAAAAAAAATTGTGAAAAGATCAGTAGCTCCACATTCATTGGCGAATCTTATGGCTCAATGATATAGCATGACGTTACCAGACTTATTTTTGCGTGAAATCGGTGTCGGGTGACATTACGACACGACATTGTGCGACGCCATGTCATCACACGACACCACGGAGGAGCTATAAATGGTGTAAATTTGGAGAAACTTTGGGATATTCCAAAGAGACAGGCAGGATTTACGATCAGTCTTTCGTTGTCTCATCAAAACTTGCACAATTCAAACGTAAAAAGTGCCATTTCTTTGGTTTTCTTTTGTGTACAGAGTGTACACGAAACTTGCCTTTTTTTCGTGGGGTGAGAATGAGCGGTCAACTGTGAAAGAGACAGTAACCTACCTCTGGGTGCTCTAACGAGAAGCCTCTTCCGTATCGTGCACAGGAGGCCCAGCGGGAATCCGGCCGAGGACGCCGAAGCCCACTGGGAGGAGAATTCCGAAGAACACGCAAACAGGCTGAAGGCGCTTCTACGGGAACTGGAGGCCGAAAACCGCCGGCTCGAAGAACAAGTGATGCTCGGGCGGAAGCAGTGCCACGACATCAACGCCGAGGCCGAAATCGCAGCGATGGAGATAGACAAGGTGCGCCAGCCCGCAGGCAGCTTCTTTCGGCCACTCGGTGCTTTACCGCAACAGCCTAACAGCCGCCGGGGAAAACCTCCTCGGCGAATGGCGTGGTCGTTCTGCGCGTAAACTCCCGGCACCTCGGGTGTGCACGTGCAGCCAGAGAACGCGTCGAAAAGCGACGAGCGCCTGAAACTAAGAAGACAAGGCCTGCACGTTACGTCGTCGTTAGTGGCAAACACTCGTGCCTTTTGGGAGACGCTGCAAGATGTGCTGGCGGCGATGTGGAGGCCTTGTCTTCTACGTGGTATTGGCTGGAGGTCGGGCGTTCCAGAGGTACGCCCTGGCATACTCACTTCGGCAGTGACTGTCGCGAAGGCTCGCGAAATGCCGAAGTGTTGTGGGAGGTGGGAAATTTGTGCCAGAGGTGGGATAACCGAAACTCCCCCCACCGTTCTCATTGTCTCGGTGACTACAGGTGCTGCGACACTGCCCATCTCCAAAGGTTTTTAACGAGTGTTTCCTCGTCCATCCTTGCAGGAGTGCTGGAGACAGACCAAAGACGAAGACTGACCGATCCCACAAACTCAAGTGGTGTTGTTTACCCAATTTTAATTGTGTAATTTAATTTGTAAAATGTGTAACTTACCTAATTAACAATCTCAAAGCTCCCCTTTTCATCTTGTCTACCTATGATCCTTTGTTTAGTGTTTCCACCTTGAAAAGCCAACTAGCCACGTCCTCTTTGCAGCTCCGCAGGAAAGTCTCTCAGCACTGCCTTCTTCATAAAATCGACTTGCCTTCTTCATAAAATCTACTACCAGATTTCATACCTTAAAAATGAGTTGCCATCACCCCCCCCGACTGAACATTGTGCCTTAACAACACACGTGTCATTATTTCAGGCTCTACGAACGCATTTAATTGATCATTCCTTCTTCGGGCCATCAGCGACTGGAACAACCTCCCATTATCCATTCTCACCACTCTATACCCGAGTAATCTTCTATATTGTATTAAACTTCATGTCTAGTCTTACTAGTTACTAGTTTCCTTTTGTGTTTTTCATGTATTTGCATTTCTTTATTGTATAAATCTTGAATTCCCTAATGTAATGCCCTTCACGGGCCCTTGAGGTGTAAATAGATGAAAATAAAAAACAACCTAATGTGGTTGTTCACAACCAATGCATTGATTCTTTGTGCCTTTTGCATCATTTCTTACCACGTGGTATTTGTAAATAAATACCGACACAAAATGCTTTTGCCCTCCATGCTCTTGTGTGACCTCAACAACGCTAAATCTCCAAGCCTAATCTGCAGGGTGCGGCAGATCTAGTGACCCAAAATGGCTGTTTGCCTCAGCAGAGTAAGTTTTAAAAAATGCCGGCTAAATGGTAGGTTTCTAAAAAAAATTGTGCAAATGAAAACATCCTTGCTTGCTTTCTTTTTACAAAACGAGTTTAGAATATTCCACTAAGGGTTTTGTGGGCAGTGCCGTTTTGTTTGACTACAACACCGTCTGCATACATCCCGGCATTTCAATGGATTCAGTAGGGCAAAAAAGGGAAAATGCCCGATCCCAATAGGCGGAGGACAGACCGGCAGTTTTAAACTCTAGGCGATTTTGGAGGGGTGCACCGCCGGAACTGCCCAAACGTTGTGGCTCCACTTCCCCCCTCACCTGAGTAGAATGGTCTATAGCAGGGGTGGCCAGACTGACACATTCAAAAGAACATAAATCCAAACAATTTTAACTTGAAGGGACACTGACAGGGTATTTATGCTCGCCAAGGTGTTTAGATGTACAGTGCCCCTCGAACTTAACGCCGTCACTCGGTTACGCGAGTATTGATCTATTGTATGCTACCCAAAGATAAATTGGTTGCTGCAGCTGCTGGAATACCTTTCCCTGGTTGGGCTTTCATTGAGGATGCAAGTCTTCACCAAACAGTTTGACCGCTAGGTTCAGGAATAGCTCAAAAAGTGAAGAAACTGGACCTCGTGGCAGCGTTAAGTTTGGGGTGCACCATACATTATATATGAGAGCCCAACTACCCAAAACAAATTGTAACTAAAAAAAAACTTTTTTTTTTTTAAATTGTTGACAGAGGATTGGCCGGTTTGAGTAGCGCTTGCTCTCTTCTCCGTGGTCACGTGCCGTTTCCTATGATTTAGACACAACCATCAAAGATAATCAACGTCGTGGGTCATCGAAAGTACACACTCAATACTAGAAATAGATAAAAAAATATGATACCCATTTTTTGTGGCTTTCAATAAACTGGAAATACGTTGATTGAAAAAAAAAAAAAGTTGCACAGCAACGCGACTTTCAGTATCTTCCTCTATTTATTCTTCCAACCCCGGTCCGGTTTCAGTTTCCAGCAGTTGAGTTTTTTTTTTTTTTACTTTATTAAAAATATATGTGACACTGTAGTAAAATATTGATTGGGTAGTCTCCTAACACCATAATCACCTGGCAAAAAATAAAAATTTGGGGGGTGTCAGTGTTTAAGAGCTAAAATAAAAAGGAGGCGTGGCACTTCTTAAATGTTTTTTTTCTCAGTTGATGGCTATGGCTAATTGTACTCTCAAAACGATTGATCAGTATGTTTATACCTTGTTTGATCTGCGTATGATGGCACAGAGCAGCCAAAACACAAGCTGCCCCTCTTTTCTGTGTCTTATTTTGATCTTGTCTTGGGGTGGGTGTTTGCCTACCTTGGTCTGCGAGAACAAATTTAGAATTCTTCGCTCCTTGCCCAGCCTAGAGTCACTAATTACGCTTCAAAGTACCGACTTCCACCTTGTTGCTTGAAATATTTGTTGCCGTTTATCCGAAACTTTACCCGAAATCGCACGCACAAAAGCTTTTCCGTCCTCCCAAAATGTCAAGTCCATTCAATGACTCGTGCCTTCCAAATGCGTAGCATTTGTAGGGCTGGCCTCGGCCATTTTGTGTCGATGGCATGTGGCCCCGATGATGTCACAGTGTCACGTGAGATGACATCACATGACTCTGCTGTGTCATGCGATACCACGACGTAGCCCCTTGTAGTGCCCGCAAAGGGAAGAGTGCAAAGAGCCTTCAGAAAATGCCGAAGAGACGGCCAAATTTATGAACCCTAAAAAAGTACATTGCTCGTAATTGTGCTGCAGCACGCAGTTTCACACCCCATAAAGTAAAGTATCACCGGGGAAGCATTAAAAACGTTTCCTCCTGTATTGACCGAAATCTTTTGTACAGACGAGATGCTTATGTACAAACGTGGCATTTGTGGTGGGAGCACTATGGAAGTCCCGTCTGGTCGGGGCCGGCCGCCTTGGGGATGTCGGTGGTCTTCCGTCCGTGGCGTCTTCTCGTTTTTGTCCGGTGCCTAGGATGCCGCCGTCACCTCCTCCAGTACTGGACGGCAAAGGACGGAGAGAAGCACTGACACCTATGCTTGCACGTAATAGACAAGCATTTCTTGAACAAGTAACTATTGGATGTTCCCTGCCGCCTAGTGGTAAGCTCGTGTTCTAGACCATTCAACCGTCGGACATCTCCAAAACGGTAAAACACAAGAAGTTTAGCAGGAGCTACAGATGTGTTGTGGAAGCAACAACATAAAATTTGTTCATGGAATGCCATGTTGGTGAACCTTTTCTGGCCATGCCAACAACAAAACTCAAGAAGCCCAAACATAAACAAATTTGGTTTGCATAAACCCCTGCTTGCTATTTTGTTTCTTTTTTTCGCGTCAAAAGTTGTTTTGGCATGTCTACTGGCTGAAAATAGCAGCAGCCAACGTTTTGCTAGGAGACTTCACTTCTTCAGTCCTGATGGCATCATCACCATCATTCAACCTCCATTTTTAGGCCCCCAAGAAAATTCCCTTGGGAGCAGCAGGAAACTTTAGACATCAAGGCGCTGACACTTCGAGTCAACAGTTTTAAGAGCCTACGAGATGCATGGAACTCTAATGGCTAATGACAGCAAAAGACAAAGCCTGAAAGGCAGTCTTATCTGTTTGACATTTGTGCAGCCCTTGCGAGATTGTACTAAAATCTAGTGCAATCATTCTATAATTACCTGAGCGATTTTGTGAATCTGTTCCACCAGCGCGGGCATGACAGCGCTGACACTGACGTCGATCAGGTTCTGCATGTAGTGCACCGCCTCTTCGTCCGTCAAGTCCAGCCGGAACTTGTCCTGAACCTGGACCAATCGAAGATTCGCCTCGCTTAGACCTTCTATCAAATGCAGTGATGGAACTGCTGCGCCATTTGCATCAAACTGCACCAGAACAAACAACCTGCTACATGCTGCTCCAAAGGCTGTACCTGTGCACAATTTGCGCCATGCCTGCACCAAAAAAGAGCTGTTGTTAAAAAGGGAAACTGGAAGTATTCGGCACGTAGTATTGTTGGCAATGGCACTAAAATGTAGGTGTTTTTTTGTGTTTTTTTTTCTTTTTTGTTGTTTATGGACTATGCGGAAGGACTAGGGTAACGCAAATATTCCAATTTTCGGGTAGAAGTTGAAAATAATACTCTATCTGATATTCTCTTCAAAATGAACTGCGATATTCATAGTTTTGGAAACGTTGATCGCGGCAGGTTAATCGCCTTGAGTGCGCTTCTCCTCAAGCACCGGTGTACTGCGGAGAAGCAATACCCGCGGAGCTGACACCGCAATCTCGCCTCACCTTAGCGGAGCCGTGCGCTTATGCAAAAAAAAACACCTTCAAAGTAGTCTGGTGCACGCGTGGACCTGGTTTATTAAAAAGAAAATAATAATAATTAAAAAAAAACGGGAAACGCTGTGATTGTTGATATTTACATTGCAGTAAAATCTTCCAACTTTAACTGTGGCTACGATTTTCTAACAACCTGTGATCGTTATGTGTGCTTGTTTCTCTTTTATTCTTTTAATTTAGAATTGAAGACAACATTTGCATATAACAAGATTTATAAATCCCCTCAATTAGATATGGCTGGGCTCCTTTATAGGCTTAATTTTAATAATATTTGTTGTTTACTTGTTATCCCAATGTAGGCATTGAACTCTCTGAGGCTACAGTTTATGACTATAGCTAGACTAAATTTAACAGAGCTCATAAGTGGGCAGTCAGAAGCTTGGAAACAACCTTTACGAGTTCAGCTAAATTTTTGTTTAAACGTAGGGTAACAGTAGTGAAAGGCGTGGAGAAAGGTGCAGCAACTATGCAATATGGGATTCAAAAATATTCGGCTAAAACCACTATTCCCTTTGAAATTGCTTCGAACCCGATATCCATGGTTTGCGCATGCCTAATGAAGAGTTACTGGTTTTTGTGCAAACGGTGGTCACATAAATCGCAATGAATTGCTAGTGCTATTTATTGTGATCGGTTAAAGTAGCTACGCGCTCCGCTTAGCTGCTCTATGAACAGTGGGAGGCGGAATACGAGCAAGAGCAGCGTGATACAGACCCTACACCTGTTTTTATGTCAAACGCAGACAACTGAAAAGTTACAGCGATATGGTCGTTCAGTAAATAAATAAATGAATATCTGTAGCAGCCAGGTCCCCTGTAGGTACGACACTTTAAATGGCCTCCCAACACTCCAACAACTGCAGTTCTTTCCACAGGCTAACTTTCAAAGAGATTGTATAAAATTTTCTGACGTGAAAGCTTGAAATTGTCTGCTCCAAAAGTGGAAATCTCTGCTCCAAAACCCGTTTTTCCCTGCTACGAGAGCTGCTCGAACTCACCACTTGTCAGTTCCACCACTGCAAGTGGAACGAAGGTACGATGTCGTACCTAAAAATGCCTCGATCCGTATTCAAGCTGTTTGCCAAGATGTTCCCAGGAAACACGCTCACCTTTTTGACCGTCTTGTCCGGTTCGAGCGCAATGTCGGGCACGCTGGCGTCAACCATGAGAGAGAACAGGTTCAGGATGAGGTTGGCATGCCTGCAAAATGGCGTTTGTGTCACATACAGCAAATGTCGTCCATCGTAACGGCACCCCTAAACATTTCACCTGGCAAACGCCATCAGCAACGGTTTTCACGAAAACTTAAATTTCATGGGAACTTGATAAATCTCTCTCCAAGTGGAGAAAAATTAAGAGTTTGAATTGAATTCGGTAAGGCGGCGTTAGCTGCCATTTGTCTGATTTTGCAAGTTAATGTTTCGACGTGGGCAAACATATTAATTCGCTGGCCCCATGGCAATAGATTTCACAGAAACTTAAATTATTTGTTAAATTCATAGTGCTATACTTTTTCTCACTCTTATGCACTGCTGCTCACTTATTTTAGATATATTTTCCCCAGATATGACATCTTTAAATAAATTCCGATTTGTTATTACGTTGAGTCTTGACATTAAATAAACACCAAAAGCCAGAAACTCTGGTTATGTGTCGCATGCCATGGAAATACCAAACAGAGTCGCAAGACCGCCAATCTACCAAGCCGTAATCCACGACAGTGGGACAGGTAACTTGACTGACCTGCGCAGATGCAGGAAAGCCGTGTAGCACTGTTTCCGGAATTCCTGGTAGTGGTCCGCGTTGATGCCCCCCATGGCTTCGACCATCTCCTTGCTGAGCTTCATCGGCGGCGGCAGGGGCTTGGGGTCGCGGCCCAAGATGTAGCCAAAGTCGATGTGGAACAGCTTTCCTGCGATGCGGGTGCGACGCCGGAAGACAGTGTGGTCGAAGCGCAAACATGAGGACCAGCCTTTTAGTCATCTCTCGTGATGCCGGCCAAAGAAAGAAAAAGCTCTAGGGGCATACCGGTCTTGGTGAGCAGCAAGTTGTCCAAGTGCCGGTCGCCCACGCTGAGCAGGTATGTGATGACGCAGTAGCCCGCTGAAAAGGTGACACTGTCAGCCGTGTAGTACGTTTAGTGCACCTATCACGCTATGCCAGGAAAGCCGGATACTAATACATGTAGCAAGTGCATATGGAGGATACATATTGGGTGTATGCGCAAGTTTGTCAAATACTTGGACACATTCAACCTTGTATAGAATAAGATCGCAACATGTTTTATTCGAAGCTCAGGCCCGAGAGGAGTTCCATGGTAGTCAACGGACACCGATTTCAGGCAAAGTTAGCAACCCACTTTTTTAACACTGTCGAGACTGGTGATGTGAGGGCATGTCGTATTAGACGAAACAGGCTGTAATTAAAGGGACACTCAAGCGGTTTTTGGAGAAGCTACTTTTTGGTGCGATGGTGTTAAGGAAGGGTCAGTGAATGAGTATCTTCAGTTTTAGATGGCAGAAACGCCTATTAATCACGCAGGAATAAAATACGTGCGGACTCTTTTCTGTACTTGCGAGGACCAATGAAATTATCGTATGTTTGAAAATTTTGGCGGTCTTTTTAAAGTTTCGCTAAAAAAACAATTTTCAGTTCATTTAAATATGTTGTGCATGATAATTTCACAAGACGTAAAATATTTCTAGTTTAGAATATGCGATAGCGCAATTATCGTTTCACAAACAAGGGACTACGTTTTCTATTTGCCTTCCTCCGCGGGGGGTGAATTTCCCGTTCCCCAGGGATGCGCGGAAGCGCACGTATCTCCGCGCGTTGCAGACCGGTCGACGGTCGTGCCGGTCGCGGGCCGGCCGCGTCCCTCTATCCGCAAACGTGGCGTCGGTGGTGGTCGTCGGAATGGACGGCCTGGTGAAAGCTCATCGTTCCGCGTAAAAGCGCTATCCTTAACTGTGAATTTTCGTCGTGTTTCGCTATGATAACCCAGCACGTACTAGAAGGGAACATCCACCTACTCGTGCGGCGATGTCGTGGCGGCGCTCTCAAGATAGCAGAAACGCCCGTGCCGTCGTGTTTGTTTACTTCGACTACAGTGGTGCTTTCTAAGCATTTGTGTCCTCGAACATCGCCCGGATTTCTGATTTGGCGCATTTCATGCGTGTGCTCAAGTTCAAGGTATTACTGGCGCGTACCGTATAAAGGATACGAATTTTCACGCGTTTTCATCACCGGAGAAAAGTGATTAGTGTTAGCAATCCTGAACGCTCGCAACGTCTATCTGATCACGAAATCATATTTCTACGTTGCTATATCGCTGCTAAGATTACATTGTCTTTTATAATCGTAGAAAAGGCGTGTGGCGATATTTGTACTATTGCAATGTCGTGTATTAGAGTCGTGATCGTCCAAGACGGCGCTGCATCTTTTTATTTTATTTTTTTCATTCGCTGTACCCTGCAAGCCTATCAAGAAAAAATAATAAAGCTTTAGACTAGAAAACTGTCTGTCTATATTCTGTTACGGCATTGAGTAGCAGTGCGTCCCCTTTTTTAGAGGGGCCGCAGACACAGCTGACGGCGGCGTACAGAAGCGGTCGCCGTGCTGACGACCCGCTGCGCTTGTTGTAGTGGTTACAGGTGTGTGTACGCGCGGCGCAGTGCGGTCGTTCCGGTCGCTCCGGTTGCAACGGACGCAGTCGTAGGTACGCGCTCGTTGCACATGTCTGAACCAGCCTTCCCCCCGTTCTCCCGAGGCGAAAGTCAACGTGGCGACATCGTTTGACATCACGCACCAGAAGTAACGCTGCGATGTCAAACGTTGGTTTGGTTACGACTTGCCCCAACCGCGAATCGGAGAACGCCCGAAAAGGTCTGCGGTTTCGTCGTCCTCGGAACCCGAACATGACTCCGAAGCGCTGCTATCGTCCACATCGCACGTCGGAGTGGCGTCATAGGAAATCATCCCCAAGTTGGCTGTCCGCCGAAGAACTTCAACCTCTAACGGCGTCAGGTCCTCGAGCGTAAAGAACTCCGCCATGATTGAAGCTCGAATGACAAAGAGGTTCGGCGTTCGGCCGATGCGGCTACCTCGGGATCACTGCGCGACGGAACGTCGTCCAACGCCATTGGCCCGAGATCCTTTTGATAAGCGTGCGACGACCAATGAGAGTGGTTTCGTTTTCGGATGGATCCGAGGTTTGGCGGCCTTCAATTACATTTTTATTAAAGAAATAATCACCGTATGACTATACTTTTTGGTTTTTAGGGATACTTAAGGCGTCTAAATTCAGCTGTCATTATCAAAACACGAACTCAAAAACCACTTGACTGCCCCTTTAAAGGGAAAGCGCAGTAAAAAAAAAAAAAAAATAGGCGTGAATATACTTAGAGACACAACTTCCTCACCTTTGCTTTGCACAGTTACTTCAGCTAGTACTGTTGTCTTCCTTCATTTAAAAAAAGAGGTATGCAGGGGCAAAGGTGACTTTGTTGGGCTCACATCGAAACAAAACTCAAAACAATGACTGAAAGGAAGAGAACCAAAGCTTTTCCCCAAGTGGATTGTTGCAGGTGTTGGAGGACCTCCATCTTACAAACTTGTGCACAGACCCAGTAGAGAACTAATACGTGATGACAGTAAATAGCATGACTAGGTTACAGGCAAGCATACATTTCGACTACACACTAGAATACAAGTAGAATGGGCTGCTATTCGCTCCACTAGAACATAAAGGTTGGTTCACGGTGCATCTGAGTGTGACAGACTGTGCTGCGACTGCTCGTAACTGCTTACAATGAGAACCTCATCACACACAGAGTAGTGTTTCCTCTCGGCACTTCATACTTCTAGAAGATTCGTGCTTATTCGACGCTTTAACGTTCTAGGCCGAATGTTTGAGATAGCGAGTGTTAGTAGATAAGGAACCCAGCGTGGCCTTGCGGACTGTCGCACTAACCAGCTGTCACGCCGACACATCAATGCTCGCTGCTGCTTTCTCGACACTCATTCTTTCTTTCGTTTGTTTCTCAAGTTTGCCGCTTTAACCTCTATTTTTAGTTCATTTATTCTTTTTCATCTGCTACAATATAACTGCACGGAAGGTTTTACAGTATTTGTGCAATCAAATCTATAAAAAGCAGTCTCTTGTAACATTGTAAGAATTATTTCAAGCATACAATGACAGAACGATGTGTAAAATATTTACAGATTGAAACGGGGATAGCCGACAAATGGCACCTCTCTCGTCATGAGCAGTCATGGGCGGCAGCAATGCAGGCAATCACACTCAAATGCAAACGTGCGGACCAGCCCCAAGAGCAACGACAAGTGGCGTTGGAGGTTCACTTACCGCACGACTTGACGTAGGTGTCCATTACTTCGGGCAGAATGCCGTACGGACCGGTGTCGGACGGGGCATGCTTGCGGAAGAACTTTTGGATCGTGTCCTCGGTCCTCAGTACGTCTGCCACGGACATAGACTCGATGTACTGGACAAACCCTGTCAATGAGACAAACGTAGCAGTATTCAGTTCGAAAGCCCAATCATAGACACGGTTCTTTGCAAATGCATTAGCGTGCATGCCAGAGTCAAGCTGGCTGTACGGACACATAGACGGCGAGAAGTTGGTCTGCTTAGAAACGTGATGATGCTGCACATGCACAGCTGGTATGTAGCCACAATGTTCACTGACAGGTTAAGAAACATGGAACGTAAGAAATCCCAAGCACCTCATTATCACTTCACAGCCAATAAGATGGTTGCATTGACTGATAAGAGTGCTGAAGAACGAATCACAAAGCAGCAAGTTTTGTGATTCATTTTTGATTGAGATATGGACATGCAACAATCTTCAGGGTGTTATGGAGTAGGAGGAGGGGTGACGGCTGCAATTTTCGGTGTTCTCAGCACTTTTTCACCGTGCGGCGGTGATTTTGTCCGCAGAGAAATGTACAAGTTGCCCAATATTGCTGTTATAAGTCTTTTCATGTTTGGGAAGATAAAATCCCAAATGGACTTCGTCGCATTGCTTTCTGACTCTATGGGAAGGGGATGTGCAACTATGAAAAATAACACAAAAATAATGCCTCCTAATTTTTTTTTCATGGTACTATAGCATTTTTATCATTGGCATTCACATGGATTAGGGTTAGAGAGAAAGAGAACATGAATTATGACATCAATAAATATGTGAACATCTCTTAAAAGACGGCCTTGGAAGAGGCCATTTTTGGACGATGACGAGCTGATTCTGCAAGAGACAATCTCCGAAGTCGAAGTAGTCAGCAGTGTTATAAAACCGAAAGCAAGCATCCCACTACTCAGTGATCGAAAAGAGGTGAAGGCGATAATAGGGAACTTATTCAAAAACATCCCAATGTTTCTGAATAATGAAGGAATGATCCATTTGAGCTGTGTTTGAGACCTCTTTCCTTCTTCCCGTCGTTTTTCTGTCATCATCGGAGTCCCGGGTAATTCTACAATTATAATCCATGTGATTGCCAATATTGCTTTGGGAGGAAAAAGTTTGGAGCAATCACTTCTGTACCGATTGTCAAATATTTGGAAGAAGAGATTGAATCTTGAATCTCTCTGGCTGATCTAACCTTTAACTCCTCGATAAGTTCTTCGAATAAAGTAATGGAGCGCTCAGTCTTGCCCAAAATATTGTTTGTAACAATCACCATGGCCATCATTTGTCTACAAAGTTTACAAATCAGGTCTCACCGTGCTTCGTGCTTGTGGCCAGGACACAGTAAGGGGTCAACTTCAGGTCAAGGTTCTCCTTCCTAAGCAACTGCAGTAATAAAAAAAAAGGTTTTGAAAAGCTTTGTAGAAAGATTTGTGTTGCGCACCTTTTGGAAATATTAGATAACATATTTTGAGATGTCCTGAACTAATAATCTGCCAAGAGACTGAACTGGAACCAATAAGCATTAGTTGAGTTCCACATAGCATCAGCATGTGCTGAATTTACAGTTGTCTCATTGGCTGCTTGCTGACCTTGGGTTTTTGGCACTAATATGTGGCACTTGTCAAAGATTCTAAGTGAAATTCGGTAAACATTAGTGCTCTCGCAAACCCCGTGATCAGACTACGCAGTGTGCACTGTTGATCCTAAAGTGGCTCCTACACACATTGTTTTGCGAGAAAAGGATGCATGGATGCAAAACCAACATGTGTAAAAGATGCGCATAAAAACGCAACTAGGTATTCAATGACTGTAGTGAGATTTAATAATATATATATGGCCGTTTTCATCTGATTCAGGCACTATTTTCAGGTCGAATTTCTAAATATGACAGCAAAAAAATGTTTTGGGAGCATGTTTAAAGTGAAAGACAGCACAAAAGGCAGGCTTGGCAGATTTTTTGTTTTCGAGTTATCGATCAGTGAAGTGGTCAAGGCAAAAACTGACGTTTCTCCCACAGGTCGGGGATTGCGTGTTTGACAGTTCGCCATCTCGTTTCTCAAAATAAAACACTAAGATTTTTTTCTGATCCCCCTCAAAATAGATTTTATTAGACTTGAGGAATTAAAAAAATTCTTTTATTTTGGAATATTTTACAAATGTTGAACAGCAAAGTTTTGCAAGGTTTTACGTATGACCCTGACATCATCAGAAAGCTCAAATCAAACTCTTTTCAATGTATACAAGTTCGATAGTATAAGTACAAAATAAAATCTGTTACATACATTTGAATAAAAGAACATTTAAAAAATCTGGCAAATTCATAAAAAAATTTTTTTCTAAAACCCAATTTTTTTTTTTTTTTTTTCATTAATAGCAGGGGATAATAGTGGTTTATTAGAAAATATAAATATAGCATATAGTATTTTGATTATATGACCGCGATTAAAGCTTGAACCTTGTCAGGTGTGCGCTGTAAAACGGCAAGCTTTGTTGCAAAGTAAAATAGTTTTTAATTCCATTCACGTGCAATTTCACTTAAAGGTTACATGTTAAGTGAAACATTAATATCACGTAATGAACTATACCAGGCCACAATGTTTGCGAGAACAGCACCTATGCCAGGACACAGTCACCGTGAACAACTGACAAGATTCAAGCTTCAATTTTGGTCATACGAAAATTCTATATTTTCTGTTCACATTTGCTGATAAGTCATAATCTTACCTTGCCACCAATATAACGCAAAGCAAATAAAAAATAAGGGTTTTTGAGAATATTGGTTCCGAATTTCCCGGATTTTCGAAACATTTGTTTCTTTAAATGTTTTTAACATATTTAATTTTACACACATCATATTGAATTTGTATTCAATAAAAGGATCACAATTTGAGCTTTCTGATGATGTCAAGGGCACTTAAAAGAACTGCCAAACTGTCAAACAATTATCAAAGGGACACATGTATTCTGCCACTTAATGTCACAAAAGTGCCTTAGTGCTTCATTTTAATTAATGGGAAAATAGCGAGGGGTGAAACATGTAATCCTTGACCGGTGGGAGAAACGTCACTTTTTGCCTCGGCCACTTTGCTGGTCAATAACGCAAACATTTTTTTTTTTAAATCCGCCAAGCTTGTTGTTTGCGCTATTGTTTATTTTAAAAATTCTCACAAAACATAAAATCTTTTTTTGGCGAAATTAAAAATGTGGTTTTAAAACCGTGGTTAAAATGAGATGAAAACGCTTATACAAAGGGAAAACATGTTACCAAGCAAATCAATAAATTAACAAACAAGATTGTCGCTTAGGTCAGTAACATATTTTGGTACTATAATAATGATTGCCCATCTTTACATAATGTTTCTAATCGCAAGAATGCCCATTGTTTCTAATCGCAAGGATGCCATTGCACCCCTAGCAGCTAAGTTTAGAACTACACCCACGGGGACAATAATGACATAATTATCATAAATTATTTGTTTGCGTTTCCGACGCAGCGCTTGGCTAACAGAGCCAACCGCCGCATCACCATTAGGCTGGGTCTATTGGTTCCAGACAAACCAAACAAACCAGACGAACACATGTCCCAGACGAACACAGACACAGACGACTGAGCTTTGCGGTAAATAAGCTGGTTGTAACACGCCCTGGAGTTTGGCCTAGCATAGCTTCCACGGCATCCTCGAACCTACTTGCGCAGGCACACGCAAATGAGGCACAAGAAGAAACCAGACACCTGTGCACCAGTGCGAGGCTGCAGGGTCATGAAAACAAAGCTAGCGTCGACAACATGGTACAAAACTAGTTTGTGCCGAGCGTACGAAGTTCTGTGGGGCGAAGCCAACCAGACGACCCACCTTGTCCATAAGAGTGATGGTCTGAAGAATGAGCTGGTCCTGGCGCAGGTCGTCGCCATGCTTGAAGATGGCCACGTATTCCCTGTCCCCGTCCTCGGTGACGAACGTCAGACGGCAGGGCATGAGGGCGGACTTGAAGAGCGCCGCCTTGGCTGGAAGGAGCCCCTTCACGCGGACGCTCGGGTCCAACGGAAGCGGAAGCGGATCAGGGAAGCGGATCAGCTGGTGCGACTCTTGGTCCATCAGCAACGCGTGCAACTTCTCCGTCTGCAACGGACCGACCAATCCCGCGGTTTGTCTGCCAGTCGTCTAAAGGCAGTTTCGCATACTCGCGTCTGCTCATGACGGAGTCCCTGTGATCAGTTACGACGAGGAAACGCGCTGGCATGCTAAGGCTATCCATCGGGTGCATTTCACTACAGTGAAAATTTCATGGTACTTGTGAGTTCAAATGTACATACTATTTATGAGAAATGGTCATCTACAACAATGTCAAAAATGTTTCGAGCCAATAAAGGAAGACGCAAAAAAAGTAGGAAATCTACGAAAATTGCGAGTGGCTTTTTGATAGTGGCGTCGGCGCATTCTTTCGTCGTAAGATATCACGAGCAGTTTTAATGCAGTCGGTGAAAAGCAGTCGCAAGCGTGTGAACCTGCTCAGTCTAATTGCAGGTATATTATGACACTAGTCCCAGCTCCAGCTGGAAATGGGACAATTCGGCTAGATCCAGCTAAGATCAGTTTCGTAATCCAGTTGAAAGCGGTCTAATTTTTACCTGGGCTCAGCCATGAAACTGTTCACAGGCAACCTTTCTTTTGGCGAGAAAGCCTAGAGCAATTTTGAGGAATAAGAAACGCCATCTTGCCATCAACTAAATCCACGTGGCAAGTTATGGCGTAACATCGCCGCAACACAACTGTGCAGTTCGTATTAAAGTTCCTCCTAAACGCATATCTGCTCCAAATGCGGCGACTCTCAATCGCCTTTGACGTGCATGCGGTGGCCCCGACGGAGATCCCCGTTCGTACGGCGCACTAACCTTCTTTTGGCGATTCCCATTCTCTCTGGCCACAATCTTCATGAGGTTCACGAGGTGGTTCACAAAGGTCTGCTGCTTGCTCAGCATGGCACGACGCAGCCGGTACTCCCGGTTACCCTGGTTCAAGAGATGCAACTAAATTCCCAAGATGTAAGATGCACCGCAATACGCTTTAAAGGCCAACGTCCCAAATCATTTTCAGCCGACTTGAAAACTCTTCCCCGCTTTCCTTCCCTTCATTTCTCCCCACCCAAACATTGCAGGTTTGGGAGCCGATCCAACACCTAGAAAGCAAGGCTGTGGTGCCGAATTCTCGGTGTCAAACACGGACACACCGTTCGACTAAGATTTGTATTTTGACTGACTGAACGTGAGTCCCAGTCGAACAATGATGCAGCAGTCCATCCTGCGTGCTGCAATGGTCTTCTGTACATGACGCCCAAGACACTGCGCTCCAGCTTTGCTCTCTAGGTGTTGGCTAATCGCTAATCCCCACGAAGGGAGAGAAAGGTTCCCCCCTTCCCCATCTGGCCTTCCAGAAAAGGTAAAACGGCACCAAACAGAGAAGTCACCTTGAGGAGGCAGTGGTTGAACCTCTTCATGACTGCCAAGTACATCTCCTTCACCTTGGAGTCCTTCACCACATTGTCCTGGTCTTCACTCTCCACATACAGGTACCTACAACAAAGAACGAAACGCTAAGCAGTCGCAAGAAATTTGGCTGCCACTCGAGACAACCATACTGGAAACCAGCCTTCCACTCCACAGGTGGTTACATTGAGTCTAGCGTTCCCCAAACTGAACTTATAAAACAGGTGTCCCGAACATGTTTTATAAGCGTACCTTGCAACGGTACGCTTATAGAACACTTACACTCTTAGCAAAACGTCAGCTGCTAGCCTGGGTTTTTTCCAGGAGGCTCAGAGCACACGAAGATGATACGAAACGGCTACAAACCAGTAGAAATAGTTGGCTAGGGTGTCGCTGGAACAAGCCCTCGTAATCAGGAAGGTGGCCAAGTCGCACTGGAAGTGAAGCAAAGCAACGCACAGTTGGCCGACCTCGCCAACCTCACTCCTCCTCTCCCACCCATCAACCAATAAGCGTCGAGCCTCGCGGCCACGCTTTTATCTGGGCTTCACGAAATGCCAAACACCTAGCCAAATAACTTTTCACATTAATAGCCGATGCCAAATATAGTACCGAAGCGATCTGTGCACCGACCTCGGACTGTCCGGTGACGGAGATGGACGGCGGAGCCTCGGGATCTCCGAAGGGGTCCTCGGCTCCTACCACTCCCGTCGAGATGGAGGATTTCCTCAACTGGTCCGACGAGAAGGAGTCGCTCCGCTGCTGGTGATCCACCACTTCGGCGGAGCCGACAAAGCTGCCCCTAGAGGAAAACCGCAAAATGTTACAAGGTATGAATGTAATAAAATTACGTCATGTGTACGTTTAGATGCGGGAAGCGAGTCAGTTATGACGGGCGTCTCCGCCGTAGATGAGGAATTTTGCCGGCGCAGTACCACCGCGAGCCTAGGGTTTTTAGTGAGCACCATGAAGTAGCGACACACGACGTCATGCCGGTACAATGCTCATCCAGATCGAAATGGGCAAAGGTGGCGATTGAGCCAAGGATTCCTGGAATCTGCAGCGCTAGCTTTCGCTCTACATGCTCCAAGCTGCAATGCATTAACACGCTTTACCACAGATCCCTCTTTAGATGTTATCAGCGATGGTTACAACGTACGAGATGTGCAATTGTTTATAGCTCCATGCACTGCCTGTTACACGGAGCGTCGGAGAAAACTGAGAAGCGTTAACCTCTTCAATTCATGGCCAGTGCAAGCCATGAAGTGTTCTTTTGTCAGCCCACAACATCGACGTTTGTCACAAACCCACACTCACACGACCGAGTTGGCAATGCTTACAATGTATGCTGTCCTCCGGACATTGTTAGAGCTCAGAAATTTATGCCCCCGCATTAACTGGCCGGAAATCTGAACAAAATATTTGGCGACAAACTAACGCCGAAAATTCGGGAGCTTGGGGAACCTAGTCCGAGAAAACGTGCCTTAAAGTCAGGCCTAAAAAAGGACTGGCCGCACCCACCTGTCCCCTCTTTCGCCGGGCAGGGGCCCTCCGGCCGGCTGCTGCAGCTCGGCGGCAGCCTCCATTCCCGCCAGCAGGTCCTCCAGCCGCTCGTACTTGAGCGCCTGCACCAGCTGGAGCAGGTAGAGCAGCAGGTCGTCCGCGTCCGCCTGCCGCAGCCGGGCCACGGCGTAGCGCCGCACGGCGGGGTGCCCAAACTGGGGTCCCAGGAGCTCCAGGGCGTCCTCCACATCCATGGGCTGCCAGGAGCGGAGGAGCTCCAGGGCCTGGCGGGCTTCGGGCCCAGACTTCCAGTTGACGCACTTCACAAACTTGGCCAGGGCCTGCATGTGCATTTGTTGCGTCCATTGGGTGTCACTTGTTTGATGTGTCTGCGTAAGCAGTTCCGAGCGGTCGCGACGCAGTTGCTCCGAGTCGGACGCAAGTGCGTAAACCAGCCTTTACAATGAGAGGGCAGGAGCATGCAGAAATGTGCTCGGCGCTGAGCGCATTAGGTTTTGTCTCGTAAACTCGCACCTGGCGACAGAATCGCAGACAAGAAAGAGGAGTGTGCGCACCACATTGGCACCGTAAGTAGAGCAGTAGAGCAGACGTTGTAATGGCTGTGGCCGAACTCCCGCGAAGCTTATTTATGCGCGATAAACCCCAGACCCTAACTATACGCGAGTCGCCCGCGAAATGCGATTAGCAAGCGCAGGATGGTGTCACTTTTCTTAGGAACTTCTATCGACCCATTTCTGTCATAACAGAGAGGGCAAAAGAAGGAAGTCAAACATCCATGACGGGGAAAAAGCAGGCAAAGGACGCCCAACATAAAATGCTTTTTCTTTTATTTTCAAGCATGGCACGAGTTTTGTCCATCTGTTTGTACAGACTTACTGGCTGAAATCGTCGGGGGTAGTCGCATTCCCTAGAGACACGTGAAAACATGGCCGTTATTACGTTTAATAATTTGTTTAACTTGCTCCTCTGTTGTTAAAATACCACCGCATGTCGACGGCGCCTGGAAAACATTGTCGGCTGGCATGTTTAGCGTCGTACGATCCTGCCCCACCCAAACATTGAAATTGGTCCCTAAGTGGCAACAAATGACGTTGCAAAAGCCAGGCTAGAAATCGAGGGACCATGTCCTATGTGTCCACCCTTCACAGCAACTCTGAGCATACGCAACCGGCTATAGGTAAAAAAAATATAGACCATGCTACCTCGTTTTAACGGCAGTTTTCTGATGGTAGGCAAAACAAACCAAAAAAACGGAGCAAAAAGAGAGGTGTTAGGACGGTTACGGCTATTTCTCCCGCCACGGTGACGCACCTTCTTCTGGCTCTGGAGGTAGAAGCGGAACTTCCAAACCAAGTCTTGCTCTTCAGACGTCAGTGCTTTGGTGGATGGGTAGTTCACAATCACCTTGGAGGACAAACCGGTAGGATATCAGAATGTGAAATGCAGAATAGGTACAAAAAGTGCAAAGAATTGTGGCTAACGTTGGCATCTGCGTGAAATTAATCACTTTCGCTAAGTGCTACATTAATGAATCTGTGAAAAAATCATACATCCCATCACCGTCCGCACAATTCAATTTGTAAAATGCACCCCGGGGTGCATTTTACGAAACAATGAACAGTCCCGTGTTAGTCCACAGTACAGCCATAGCGATAGCTGCAAAACGTCACGGCGGAGTCATTGGGCATGGGCGTCGCGTTCACGCAACGTGGAGCAGCGGGGTGCGTGAATAAAAGCGTTCGGAACAAAATAAACGTCTCTTTTGCTCTGAATGCTTTTGTTTCGTTCCATTCTGTTCTGACAGCTTTTGTTCCTTTTTTTGTTTTGGGGTGTGCGCAAGTGCATCTGCCGGCACGAGCTCTTGGCACTGACGGTGGTACGACGGCATTTTGTTTAGGCTACTTTTTTTCTCCAGAGGGTGTGTGCAGTGGGCATTGAGTACTACAAAAAAAACTAGTTTAGAGGGGGTTATTATTGCTGTAAAGTGGTTCAGTGGTAATGCACCCGCATCACACGCAGTGGACCCGGGTTTGATTCCAGCAAGCGGCGGGCAATACCTTTCAAGAATTCGGCAATATCGACGACGGACGCCCTACATCGCCAACTACAACATCAACAACTACAGCATCAAATAGTACTACAACATCAACAATGGACATCATTTCCAGTGGTGGGAAGGGCCCATAACCGCTATAAAAAATTTTCCTCAACCGGCCACAGGTAATGCAAGTGCTAGAGCTACTCATACACTAAATTTCATTAATCAAAACTTCAAACATTACCTTAAATATGTTAAATGAACAAAATATGATGATCTGTATCTTATATTAGACCTGTATCAAAGAATGTCACTGACTCCCATGAATCTTGTCAGGCTTAATCTTAAAGGCTGACCACAGGAAATCCGAAATATGACTGCCAAGTTTATAGCAGATACCGAAAACTTTCAAATGAGAGTTTGAATAATAAAAAAAATTAGCTAGATTTATTTCTCTTGACCCACAATAGTATAGGTCAAAAAAGTTAGAACTACATTATTTTCATGTTTAACTTGGATCAGACAAAAACGAAGCACTTGTGGCACCTCACCACTCAAAAAGGGGAGAGGTACCGGTGCAGAACAGACACGTCTAAACACTCTTTCTTCCCGTCTGCAATGATTGATTGGAACCTGCTACCAGAAGTCTCCATAACCTCCGTGTCGTAGTTCTTCAATCATGTTAACCATGTTGGCATTCTGAATTGGTAGTACAGTCTGTCATGTTATGCGTCTTGTACATCCGCCATACAGTAACTCAAAACTTGTGTCTTGCATGTTCTGGTCAGATTGCCTCATGTTTGTAACCTCGATGATATGTCCTTGCACCCCTCCCTCAAATAATGCCTTTTAGCTGCTCTGGGGTAACCTGAATAAATAAATAAATGAACAAGGACAAGCAGGTTCAAACTTCTCGAGAGACTTTTGCACTCATAGATTCTTTTTCCCAGGTGTCTGATTACAAAATGCAGCAGAGACCAAAAACAAAACCTGCAGGTTGCACAAACTTAAGTAAACATATTGCACTGCACGCAACAATTAACTTGCATGTACATTCAAAGAGCAAAATAATACTGCATTCATTTGTACAATATTCAAATGTTGCACATCTCATTTTTCACATCTTGCAACCTTTCATATCTACAGCACATGGAGACATTGCAGAACCAAGTGTCGTAACGGAACAAAATATTTAAAAAAATGCAGTAACATTCCTGTCATCTCACATTGAGCTGGTCCCTGGTTGCAGCATTTGGCTTCAGGTCCTTATCGGTCAGGCCAGAGCGAAGACTGCGCGACAGCTTGTGGTGTTTGCCCTCCACCAAGTTCTCCTAAACACAACACAATAAAATGTCACGGCAAGCCTAAACAGGATGAAACGGACAACACCACAACATAAGCACAATGAAAAACAGCGCATGAAAGGACTGGACAAAAAGGCTGGACAAAAGGACAGGACACAATGTTTACTAATCAGTGATCACCAACTTGCCCAGCTTACAACACAACAAGTTATGCAGAGACTACAAAAGTTCACTGGAACCAAAAAAAAAACAATAAAGCTAAAACATAAAAGAGACATATTCAAACCTCGCCAGTGTCAGGTCGGGTCGCAGATTTTAGGGTCATCAGCTCACAAATTTGCCGCTGGGCGTCTTCAGAAATTAAATTATGTACCAGCAAAGAGTGAAGAACTGAGTGAACGTCGATGACATATTCACTGAACACTACAAAGAAATATAAACCATCGAAAAAACGAAAACGGAAACATAATTTATATAAGGACGAAAAATTGGGAAAAGCAGACAACTTATGGGAACTAGAACTCGATCTAAGAGCCACCTAAAGAATCAGTTGTAAGCTTTATTAGAACTAAGAGAGACAACTCCACATAAATAATTCAAGTTGCTACACCCATAAAATTAATTGTTAGACATGCAAATGACCAGCAGAAATTAGTAGGCGGCACATAGGAACTAGAAGAGCGACAGAAACTGGTAGAGAAACCATAGAAGCCAGAAAACGGCCTTCTAAATTTAGCAGGAAACACAAAGGAATTAGATTACCCATATAATTGAGCAGAGATCTCATAGAACTTAGAACTTATAGACAGCGGCTCACAGAAACTGACAAACGGCTTGCAGAGTTCGAGATGTACCGTAGGAACTGGCTCACAATTTAAGAAACGAAGTAGATCACTTCTCAATAAAAGTCCTTTGATAGCATAAAAAGACTCGAAGGACATCAAAGGGAACTGCTATAGGAATGAATAGGAAGTTTGTAACCGCTTACACCAGACTGCTATAAAAGTCAAAGGGAAGTGGCAGAAAACAACAGCTGACGCAACTACAGCTGATGCAAGTCAAGACAGCTAACACGGGAATACTAGACAGGTTTTAGGAAAGTAGCAGAACACAAAAAGAAGGCCTAGCCGGAAACCAGGCACCCAATGGTGCTCTAACGACGCAGCAAAGGACAAAGCCAATATGATAACATGTGGCTGCCAACTAAGGCTGCCAAAGACTCGGCTGGCATTACAAAGAGTGCGCCACGGCTGACGGACGGCACGCAGCTGTGGGAAAGGGCGGCAGCTTGTCATGGAGGCTGAGCGGCGGGACGGGAGAGGAGAGAGTTGGAAAGGAAGAAACACGAAAGGGAAAGGGCAAACAGCCTTGTTTAACAGCTGCCCCGTGCCTACGGGCCCTTAAAATGGGCGTCACACTTGTACAGCTGCCTCGTGAAAGTTGTGTCTGTTGATAAATGAAGTTCTACTGGGAAGTAGTAGTGCTAGTTAACTAGTAACTATGTTGATGTTCCTCATTCGTTGAGCTTGGTAGTCTATAGTCATGAACTGGGGTAGCTTGTAGCCTCTGTTTTATTTTTAAGCTGACAGTGCAGCAAAGGTGACAAGCATGAGCTAGCATGCGCTTGTTGAAACATACTTTATTACTCCACACGCCTGCTTAGTGGCCTCATTTGGTGTTCCTGTAAAAGGCTATTCACTTGGGCTAGTTGATGGTACGTTTAAGAATTAAAAGCGCTAAAAAACGAGGACCAGCAAAAGAAGACACACACACAGTAGAGCACTCTACCGTGTGTATGTCTTCTTTTGCTGGTCCTTGTTTTTAGCGCTTTTAATCCTGAAATGGTGTTCTTGTTTTGAAACGTGACTTCCTAGAGCTACTGCTCATTCAGCAAAAGCATGTTTCAAGACGGCAACCTCATGCCTGTAGCCTTTCTGCCCTGTAAGCTTAAGGGGGCGCTGAAGTGGATTCCGAGATTTTTTTTCATTTCATTTCATTTATTGACCTCAAATCGCCCGAAGGCATTACATGAGGGGGGAGGAGACAAGCTGATTCTATTCTAATACAAAATACACGCGAATGAGAGAAAAGCGAAAGATCAGCACGTACTTAAAAAAAAAAAGAAAAAAAAAAGCATACAGTATGGTTCAACTAACCAAGCAGACGACCGTCAGAGGTAACACAAGCGCATATACCAATAAAGGTAAAACATGCAGGTGGCGTACACGCACAGTACGCAAAAAAAAAAAAAAAAAATATTAGTCATTGAACAAAGTTTCACAGGCGTCTCTGAAAAGAGCGACGTCCGCTAGACCCGCAACCGATTCAGGTAGACTGTTCCAGTCCTTAATGGCTAATTGCAAAGGCGATTCCGAAAATTGTTTGGTGTGACTAGGTGATAATCTTATCTTGAAGGGATGATCAATCCTAGGAGAAATATGGTACGGAGGGAGCAAAAGTAGTTTCTTGAGTTCCTGGTTGAAGTAGTAGATTTTATGTAAAAATAAAAGCCTCGCCTGTTTACGTCTGCTACTCAATGATTGCAAGCCTGCTCTCGATTTCAGGGCAGTTACACTGGATGAGTGTGAATAGTCTTTATAAATAAAACGCGCAGCTTTGTTTTGTACGGACTCTAACTTCTGTGTAAGATTTATTTGCCAAGGGTTCCAAATCACACTAGCGTATTCAACTTTAGAACGAACAAATGATGTGTATGCAAGGATGCGGACTTCTGGAGGAGCTAAGTACAGGTGTCTTTTCAAGTAACCCAGCGATTGGTTTGCCCTACCAACAATAAAGTCTATATGTTCCTTCCAATCCAGTTTTTCAGTTAAAATAACGCCAAGGTACTTATACTTTGTTACCCTTTCAAGATTTGTGTTGGCGAGTGTATAATCAAAAGTAATATTGCTTTTCTTGGTCGAGAACGTCATGACTTTGCTTTTTGATACGTTAACACACATTTGCCAATCCGTACACCAAGCTGTGATGGAATCAAGATCCCGCTGCAATTGCGAAGCATCGTCCGAGTTACGTATTTGCCTATAAATAACGCAATCGTCAGCAAACAGTCGAATTTTAGAGGTTATGTTTGTCGGGAGGTCATTGATATAAACAAGAAAAAGAAGCGGTCCAAGAACTGAGCCCTGAGGAACTCCAGATATTACATTTATTGTATTAGAGGTTTCTTTGTTAATGGTTACTGATTGTGTTCGGTGCGAGAGAAAATTAAGGATCCAATTGGTGTACATAGGGTGAAGATTTAGACTGCCTAACTTTTTCAGTAACCGCTGGTGAGGAACCCTGTCAAAAGCCTTAGAGAAATCTATAAACACAGCATCTGTTTGAACCCTAGAATGAATAGCTTCATGAACATCATTAACCAATTCAAATAACTGCGTTACACATGATTTATGTTTTCGAAAACCGTGTTGATTGCAAAAGAGGAGGTCGTTGTCTGAAAGGTGACTCATAATGTTACTATATAATATATGTTCTAAAAGCTTACAGGGGATACTGGTCAGTGATATAGGACGGTAGTTGTTAGGAGAATTTTTGTCACCGGACTTAAATATAGGCAGCACTTTAGCATGCTTCCAATCTTTAGGAATGACTCCGAAGTCAATACTCTGTTGATACAACAAACTCAGGAGACTACTAGAGTAAGGGGCAGTTAGCTTAAGCAATTTGGCAGTGATATTGTCATTACCTGGAGAAGAGTAATGAGGAAGATTGTCGATGAGTTTGGTTATACCAAGAGAAGTAAGGTTAAATTTGTCTAGAAAAGGAATGTTGACATCGGGATCACAGGTTGGCAGTGGGAAAACCTCACTGGTGAATACTTCTCCAAAGAATGCGTTCAAAGAGTTGGCACATTCAGAATCAGACATAGGGTTACCTTCGTCATTAATAAGCCCCTTAGGGGTTCCCGTGGCCCTTTGAGGCCCAATAGTACTCCAAAATTTTCTTGGATTTGATTTCAACATATCTCTAAGCTTTACTCCAAAAAAGTCTTCTTTCGCTCTTTTCACTTCTATTTTACATACCTGTGCCTGATTATAGTAACGGTTCCATGAGTCTGTATTATTGATTTTTTTCGCTTTGGCAAAGAGACGTTTTTTTTGTATTGAGGAGGCTGTTTAAAGACTTAGAAGATTGTCTATTAATGGTGATAACTCAATCTACGGGCTCTAAGTACCCTAAAAAATCAGAAATTACACTTATCTGTGACTGATTTCTCTACTAAAGCTCTAAACAAAGATTGGAACATGCCCCTCTTTCTGCGCCTTGGAACAGACGCCAGGGGGCACTGTCGAACTGCGTTTTCCAGAGTTGTTTATACTGGGAGAGCTTGGCAATTTTTTGAAGATACCGACAGTCCAGCAACCACAGCTGGAAGTAAGGCAACCAGTAGGTATCACCTTGCCTACACCATTTTGTGTGATCGAATTTCGAACCCACTCTGGATTAGGCACACAAGGTGTGCTGTGACCCACCATTGTAATAAAAGTGCTTATCGCTAATGTAAGTGTTTTTGCCACTGCACACATACTCAGTAGCTCGAACTTACTTTTCTACAATGATCTCTTAAAATTATATGAGCTTAAACTTATTCCTCTTTTGTGAAAAGTGAACTTTCAATACTTTGAATATTAGGTCTCAAAAATGAACCCCGCAAAAATTCAGTGCCGTGAAGGGCGCCATCTAGGAGAGGCACTGAATAACGGTTAAGAGTTGAGCTTGTTGGTATACATACTTGTAAATATATCAGCTTGAACTTTAGAAATAACTTTGTGTTCTAGTTATTTCTAAAGTTCAAGCTGATATATTTACTAGGAGAGGCGCTGCGGACCTTTGCACTCAGTCGCCAGAATAATTTTTGTTTGAGAAAGCTTTATTTTGTTTAAAACCAAAAGAGATAAAGCTTATTTGTAAGTTATGTTTTTGGAGATCAATAAAGGATGGCCAGTGCTTGAACATAGTGACCAACTGCAAGCATAACAAAATGTCAGAGTACAAGAAATTGTGTTTATAAAGCAACTACTAACCGCACACTTGGACTAGCGCACGTAAGTAGGGTAGCCAAAAGCAAAACCCTCCATTTTGTGCTCTCGTAAAGTCCGCTTGTTCTGGCGGGGGACAGGCTCCGCCCACTGGCCAAGCTCTCCCAGTATAAAGGGCTCTGGCGTTTTCAAACAATAAATGCTGTATTACGCCTCCTATACCCACAATTTTACGTTTTTGTCAAAATATAATGTACAACGTGCCTAAAAAGAGCAATCTTAGTAACATTCGGAATCTCCGCTTCATTGGTCAAATTTCATGGAGCTGGTGGAGACCCGAAGATGGCCCTCACAAGAGAAAAATATGCTCGTGCATTTCTATTACTGCAAGCTTACTAGGACATCTTGTTATCTGGAACAGGCCATTTTCATTGACTAAAGCCCAACAAACAATATGCCATCAAAAACAAGCTTCGACAAAAAGCACTCGAGTGCCCCTGGGAGCGAAAGCAAAACCATTTTTTTTTTTTTGCTACTTTCAGCAATGCTTATCCGACACTACCATAAAATACTGAGGAAGCGTCTACTAATAACATTTCCCAAACTTGGAATTTCTGCAAATTATATGTTAAGTGCCCGATTTGGCCGGACAAGCGCCCATGTCACGATTGACCCAGTTTTCAGTGAAAGTGAGATGGGCGCTCCCCCGGTATTTCGCGGTAGTACCAGACTCTATATTCACTTCCAGACAGCCTTTTCTCTTAGCAGTTTGTTCGAAAGGTTGTATATTTAGATTGACTAAAGCCTTCATTTCATATCAATAAAACTGTTTTCAAATGAATGAAGACGCTCATACTGCAGAGTCACCAGAGATCAGAAAAAGAAAATTCCTCGAAGCAATACAAACCCAAAACAATTCCACAGTTTTTAACCATTTTTGGTGAAAATAACTGGAAAACACTGGTCTTGAAGCTTTTTTCTTTTTTTAGACCAAATTCAATGAAACTGCACGAGCTTATACAGCTTTTTGTGCTGATTTCAAATATCTGGTCATTTTCTCAGTCAGTAGAACTGTCCTCAAGATAATTAAAGCTCACCTGCCTTTGTTTGGAATAACAATACGAAGAAAACTACTCAACAAAATATCCTCTTTAACACATGGCTAGATACTACAAAGCATAGAGAATACAATGTTGGAAGCACTTTTAAGATTAACCAATTATTAAGGATTTTATTAAAAAAATGAAGTTCAGTGCTCAATGTGCGGCTAACAAGTAATAAAACGAAAGATCAATTAAAAAATGTATTAAACCTATATTAAGAAATCTGCTCTTAACATTGTATGCTTCACACATTTAGCTACATGTCTCAGGAAAGGTTATACTTCTACCTGCCCTAGATGCACAGATATCCTTCCTGCAAATTTTGAACAAGTCCGAAAATTGTGTTTTGTGAAAATAGTGTTTTAGAGTCGACTTCAACACACATTCAGCCTGCATAGACATTATACATTGATTTATAGCTCACATATGCATCCACGAAATTAGAAACCTGGTAGATTAAAAAAAGCAAGAGCTGTAAAGGTCAACATTTCTGTTTTCAAAAAACAAAGTTTTAGGAATTTTTTGCCTCTAAAGATTCATGTCCCCCCTTCATACCACAAATTCAAAAATAAAAAAATAGGTTTCCACGACATTCTTTAAAGCTTGTAAGTGACAATGCAGTCTTTTTTTTTCATTTTGTGGTAGCATGTTATTTTATTACAATCTCTCTGTCCTTTTTTTATGCGATGACGGGCACATCTTGGATTTCCTGTTTCTTCCCATAGACTCTTAGAACGAAAAAGCCAAGCACCATAATGCCGAACGCTGGCATCCGACGTTTGCGTTTGAACAATTAGTAAGGACCACCTTCATTGAGACAAAGTCGGCTGGCTCTGTCTCTACCCACTAATTGGCACAGTTGTAGAATGTCAAGCTCACAATCATGAGGTCATTGGTTCCATTTTCATTTTCAAAACTGTACACATTTTGCGACGGTTTCCACAATTTTTATGACATTCCGCATTAAAACTTTGCATACATTTCAAGAGAGAAACTTACGAGAGAGACGTCTGGATCCGGAATGGTGACAATGTCGGCCCGCGGAGCATTCTGGCAGGCGTCGTCGCCGTCCTGGAGTCCAGGCAATGCACCAAAAACAAACAGAATTGAGGCAATTCTTCCGCAAGGTCAATACCGAGTGCGTTGCAATTAAAAAAAAACTATCCCTCGCTTCCAGACTTGAACTAAAACAGGCTTGAGCTTAGCTAGTTGGTTCATACTTCATGTGTATGTGTATGAAAAAACATACTTTATGTGTATGTTTTTTCTAGTTTAGCTGGCCTTATCTGAAGGTTGAACTAAAAGCCATGGGTTCAATCGTACCAGTAATAACGCTACACATAGTAACGAAAGATAAGGGAAATGTGAGCATAACGCGCGAGTTAGTCATATTCGCCTGCACTGAAATGACTATGGTGATGTGTAATTTTCTTCTCTCAGATTCAAAGTTTCAGTTTCAGCGACCTCTCATGAGATTTCATGCACTCGTGAAGAAAGCCGTCAGCAACAAGAAAAAGAGCTTCCAAAACATTTTTGCGATTAACTTGATGCAAAACACTTATCCCCCTACGTGCTGCCAAACAAAAAAATCCGGGAACTGGTTGGACAGAACCGGTTGTAGCGGACGACACAGGTGACAAGGGCCATGCGGGCGAGGGCAGGCGTGCAAACGTGCTATGGCGCTACCCTGGCTGCCCTTCATCTCTCTCAGTCTCTCCAGGCTCATGTAGGGGTTGCTGAGAGGGCAAGAAGGCGCGGCGCATACAGGACGTTCTCAGAATCCCTTGTGTGCACGATCTTTTGGGATTTTTGCAAACGGTAGGTTGCGTTCAATATCTCAGCCGCTGTCCGAACAAACTGGACAGTGGCGAGCAAACTCTGGAGCCTGGTGCGCGTCTCCGACTGATGCGGCATTTGGCGTCCACCCACGCATCGAAAGTGGTCACCAAGTGGCAACAAACGACGTCCCGGGAGCTGGCAAATGCGGCTGTCACCGTCGTCACAACTCCGGGCTGCCGAAGCTTTTGCAGACCGTCGAGCTGCAGAGCGACCCGCCGCAGAACAGGAGTCTACCACATCCGCTGCCGTGCCCCAGCCAGGATCATGGCACGCTCAATGACTCGGCATGTAATGAATATAAATAGCGCCAAGGAAGGACCAGGACACCGGCCCGAAGACAGAACTAGCGCTAGTCCCGTCTTAGTGTTTGTGTCCTTGTCTGCTCTTCGTGCTATTTATATTCATTATGCTTAACCAAGTAGCCCACCTACAATGTTGTGAGAGGAAACCGAAGGACCGCCTTCCAGGAACCGGTAAACATGCCGGTCGTGGGTGCGTTCCAGGTGCCGTAATGAAACGACGCGAGCCCGCACGCACCTTCTCGAAGTAGACGACGGTGTACTCGAGGTCCCTGAAGACCACCCTGGGGAACTCCACCATGAGGAACATCTGGTTGGAGCTGCACTTCTCGCTGTTGTTCACTAGCTCAATCTCCCGGAAGGTCAGCCGGTCCAGCCAGTCCACTTTGAGCAGGCGGCCGTTGCGATGCTTCTTGCTCAGCTGCCAGAAGGGATCAAACATATGCGGCCAGTAAGCTTCGGAACATACGCGCACGTGCTTAAAGGAACACTGAATTCATAAAGATTTTTTTTTTTCAGTGCCTGGGTAGACTTTTGCACACATGCATGCTTTAGAAAACACAAAAGTCCTCACATTTTTTTTTTTAAGTGCGAGGACAGGACAACGTATCTCGCAAATCTCCAAAAGTGAAAAGTTTATAGCGCAATAATTACAATGCGAGACCCATTTCGAGCCTAGAGCAATTTGGAAACATGCCACAATTTCGGGGCCAACCCCTCGAAATAAAAGCTCGCTTCAAAATCACTCTCAACTCAAAATGAGTTCCACAGTGAAAAAAATATTGTGCTATAGTCACTGACAGAATGAGAAAGGTGGCGAGTGTCTTTCGAACACCCGGCTTCCAGCATGCGCTCGTCGCCTTCTGTCGTGCTTTGGCTGCAATTGTGCACGCACAAGACGCCGAAGCATTGTCCAAGGCAGGGAGCCCGCGCTTCAGGCGGGACAACTGAAGCTCCTCCCCGTTGTTCTCATTCTGCCAATGGCAATGGAGAGTTTTAGTAGGTCGTTCCGACACCTCCGATACCCCCGACAACGACACAACGTTTGCGTAAAGTGACCAGACGTCCCGCTTTTCCGGCCGTGGTCCCGCTGTCCCGCCAGCGTGCTTGTGGGACGCCGTTTTGTTCCGCTTTTGCTTCTCGAACCGCGGATAGACCAAAGGTTCGGGTAAACGAAAGAATTGCAGCAGTGAGAGGGTGCTTCCTCTGATCAAGGAAGAAGATATGCTCGAGAGAGAAGATGCTGAAGGTTAATTGGCGTATAAAATGTGAACAGTACTATGGGCATAGTACACAAAAATAAATGCATTAATACTAAAGGAATATTCCAACCAAGTGTATTAGATATCTGCAAGCCACACAGTATGCAAATTGCAAGAAAAAGGAAAGGTATGATTTGTTACCAAAATTTAAACTGTTCAAGTCTCGCAGAACAATAACCCCCCCCCCCCCCCCCCTTCCCCGATACGCGTCCCGCTTTGGGGCCCGAGGAATATGGTCACTTTACGTTTGCGCAAAGGCGGTGGCAGCAAATCGGGCACCGTCATCGGAGTCGTCAGAACGACCCACTAAAACTTTCCGAGAGCGATAGTAGTGTGTGTCATGGCTCACGCTACAGACCCGTTTCATCCGCACACAAAGAGCAGATTGTGCTCTCGTCGACTGCGATCGTGACAACTCACGTGGAATGCAAGCGCGTTTGTATGTGTGACGCACCTTGACCAGCCTGCTCATCTGGTCCCGGCTGCCGTACACCTTTCCGGGCGTCTGCGTCTTGCTGCTACCGTCTGCTTCCACGTCCAGCCACAGGCGGAGGTCGTGCATGCCTTGACGCATGGCCCTGAAAGCCCAAGCAATCTTTTGCCACGATTGCACATGGGGCAACGATAGCTGCCGACAACTCGAGAAACGCGGGGCGTGGCGAGTCTTGAGTTATGCGCAAGTGGCACATGGACATTGCTGTTCTGCCACATAGCGATGCTGAAATCGAAATGGAGAAAGACTCCCGAATTTTTCTAAATGTGGCTACTTCCTGTCAGATTGCTGAAGACTTTCAATGTTCCCAAGCTAGCTAAAATTCCTCGCAATTATTTTGAGGGTCTTCCTTCTGTCGGGCACACTGGGATCAGTTACAATCGATTTTATGAAGAAACATAAATACTTGTAAAGTCGCCCGTTGGTGAAAAATAATAGCTGTAGTAAAGTCGATTTACAAAAAGAACAATTGCTACTACTGCATGTATATTGTAACATTACAAAAGGTTTTATGAGTGTGGTTGCGAAAATCACTATAAAACAAAAGCGTAGAACATAATATGAAGACAGGCATGTGCAGGCTTTTATACTGAAAGCCTGTAGTTGTGTGCCTTTGTCTAGATGTTTCATGCTTTCCTTTCCTAGAGTTTCAAGATGAACACCATAATTGCCTCAACAGGTATTGCAAACTCAACACAACTTTGTTTTTCTGTAAAGTATTCATGAGCTTGTAATGTTGGTGTACACACCTGAGCTACTGGAATGTGTACTAAAAATACTGACAAAGGGCTTTTCTTTTTTTTTTTTATCAGCTGATCTTATAATAATGATTCTAGAAACTTTCCCTGTAACTACTCTAAAAGGGGAACTTGCCCAGAGTTGCCAAAAACGGGAACTTATCCACGCTTGTCAAGAATGGAAACTTATCCACGTTTGTCAAAAATGGGAACTTGAGCAATCTGACAGACACAGGAACTCACCCGTACTTCCCAAAAACGGAAACGGTGGTGCCCCCAACGGGCATGCTTTTACGAGGACCGTACACGTCCCAGACAGTCAGGGCCAGCACGGCGTTGCGAGGAAGGTCGCTGAACTTCATTGGTAGGGTGAGCCACTCGTTCCAACTGGCGGAAGAAACAGAGAGACGAAAACGACTCCGTAAATGTCCGTACGAGATGCTCAAAGTCATACAAACACCCCCATCGCTTAAAAAAAAATTGTGGTTTAAAAAAAAAAGAAACAATACTTTAACATGATCAAAATCAGCGAACCACGTTAGAAAACTGTTGAAGAAAGCAGAAGACTGGAAAGACGCTGAAAACAGGACAGGAAAGATGTCTTTTGTTTTCTTCAACAGTTTCCTAACGTTGTTCGCTGATTTCAATCATGTTGAACCCGTACCAATTAGCCCAGCTCACCACCCTTCTACGCAACAATACTTCCTTACCGGTCTTTTCAGAGCAAATAAAACCTACTCCTATTACCAAATTATTGGTGTATAAGTCACAGCTTTTTCCCACATTTTTTGTTGATGTATATACAACGACACAACTTTTTTTTTTTTTTATGCATTTATCTTAACTATACAAATTTGCCACTGAAGTTGTATTTCTCTATTGGGGATTGAACCCAGAATTCCTGGCAGTGCAAGCGTCCGCTCCATGTGCTCCGAGCTGCGTTAAATGCTGGCTCGTATGCTTCCGCCTGCTTACAACAGAGTTCTTGCGATCTGTATGTATGTATGTATTTATGTGGCGCTTGCTCTTTGAAACGAGCGTCTACGAAACAGGCACGCTCCCTGTTGCTGTCCCTTCCGCCTTTGATTCTTCTAAATCCTCCACCCAGTCTCAGGTAATTTAAGAAAATGGTAAAAAAAAAAGAAACCGGAGTATTGTTGCTGCTGGAGTCGCCGCGCTGGCGCTCCTCTTAGCTAATGAGCTGAAACAGCTCGTCAGATCTCCTGAGAGTCGTATCATTGAGAACTTCCTGGAGCCTCTCCTGATGCTTGTCTTTTACAAGATGCTGGTGCCATCTATCGGGCAGCCATACTTCGGACATCCATATATTTCCTAGTTTTTTCACTTTTTCTTGGTGCGAAAAACTTAAGACAATATTATAAAGTTTCTGGTAGGTAGCACTTAGGTTTATTCTCGCAAAACCTTCGCTCTAGCGAAATCCAGTTCTAGGGCTGCCTCATAGACGGCACCAGCGGGTCCTCTGGTTGCGAGAGATTGCTAGAGAACTCAGCTGCAAGCAGACGCAAGTGCGCAAATGAGCCCTCGCACACTCGGCCGCCAAACCCCCTGACCGGACTGAAGGCTGATTCACACTGCACCTTATCCTTGCATTTTCTTACGTTACGTGCAAGTCGCCGAAACATTCGTGTTTCGAATGTCGCGTGCCATGTTTTTTCTTTGAACTGGTAGAAACACTTAATATGAAGCACAGATGTCCCGGTGACTTGTACGTAAGATTTTGTAATGTAACGTAAGAAAACGGGGCAGTGTAAATGGGCCTTTAGACACGTGCCCGAGAAGACGGGGGCGGTACCCACTTCCAACGGGTGGTGAAGGGCTTGTAGGAAGTCTGGACGGGCAGGGCCAGGGGCTTGCCCCCGGAGAACACCTGGCACGAGACGACCAGGTCAGAGCAGTGGTCGTCGTACAGCCCGGAGTGCTTCAGCATCGGATCGTTCATGAGCGCCCGGTAGCTCGGCTTGTCCCGCTTGCCCTCCAGGGTGCCACTGAAACGTGGATGCGCATTTGCAGAAATCTGTTGGGCGGGGTTTCGTGAGCGTGCATTGGGCCATAATCTTTCGCAGTCACCGACGAGGAGAGAACGGGAGGGAAGAGATTCAGTCATCCCACCTCCGGCACGAGCTTCCAAACTTCGCCGACGCTCCGACGTCCGATGCACCTCGAACACGAGCGAGCGCGGTCAAAACGCGGCGTTAGGCATGGTGTGAGGGCTGGAGGCTGGGCATTTGGAAGACGTGCCCTCCTATAGTCTGTTGCAACTCAAAAAGGTAGGGCGAGAGAAAGGAAGGCCGGAGAGAAGAAAGCAGACGGAACGCTGGAGAGGAGAGGGGGAAACCTCCTCTTCTTTTTAGCGTTCCGTCTGCTTCCTCCTGTCCGGCCTTCCTTTCCCTCGCCCTACCTTCTTGAGTTGCAACGGACTATAGTGACCACATATCCGACAACGACAAAATGGGTATAGAAGACTTAAAAGAAAAGGAAATTAAACCACGAAAGAAACCGGGAAAGGGGAAGAGACGACGGCATGCGGGGACGTCGGAGTCAAGCTCCGATGGACCGCACGCAAGAAGCGCCGTCCAGCATATTTACGACTGATCGTCAAGTTTCCGCCATGTTGGGGAGTTGTTGTATCGACGGTTTCTGCCGAGAGACATTAGTCCCGGCAGAGTGGGAGTTGGAGATTTAAAACATGATCGCACGTGGTCAGTACGGTCCTGACCAATCGCGCAACATCTTTGATGAAGGCCATTCACTTAGGTAGACGGTCCAGTTCGTCGCCTCGTTGATGGGTCTTGTAACTTCATTGCTAACAATGCCTTTTCCACAATCTAGTGGCCCTCTTTTCTTCTTTTTTTTTCCTCATTGCACCAAAACTAGACGGCGACCCACCAAATGTACATATACCTTGTCCTAACATGTCAAAAACCGAGTTGAATGCAGATACGCAACGTCCACAGACGGAGGATGACGGAAACCCTCCACTATGGCATTAGAACAGTGAGTAGAGAAAAGGGCAGTTAGTCTGGATTTACCCACTATGGCGCACCGTGCATTCACGAGGGCGCCCATCAAACCACTCTGCCATCTTGGCTGCGAGGCAGCTATGCAGCTGCCTCGCCTCAGACACGATCACATGGTCGTGTCGCCGCGGGGTCGATCGGGATCTCGAACTCGGCTCCCGACGTGCCGCTTTATCTCCCAGCCACTGGATGGCGCTGCAGGCGCCCCATGGCGGGCGAGGAGAAACCTCCTCGCCCACCGATCGAGATATACTCGGTAGACGGGGGGCGAAGAGCCTCTTGGAACTTCGGACGCTACCGAGCCCAGGCAAGTGTGGGGCGACCGCATCTAGGGTAATCGCGGGACACGGCGAATCGGCGGCGGTACGCGAATTCCTACACCGCTAATCATACCAATCGGTGTGATTAGTGGGGTAGCCAGTACACTCTCCTTCATTTACCGCACAATACCACGCATCCACCCATTCCACACTAAGCACCCCTTCCCAAACTTGTAAGATCTGAAAAGATACGCACAGTACGTTTATATGTAGAATTGAATGACTGCACAAGCGCCCATCCCCAATTTTTTTCACGATTATCTCTAAATTTTAAGTGGGCGCTTGCCGGTATTTTACGGGAGTTGGTTTTTCCCTTTTTTTTTTTTATTTTGAAAACTGTATAAAAGATGAGTTTTCAAACAATGCCCCAAAGGTTCCCGGCTTTTTGTGATGCGTGGCATAAATGCAGGGCTTAAAATACCTGTTTAGCGCTCCAAATATTAAACTGGGATTCGGGAGTGATTAGGATGATGACCCCATAACAACCCCCATTGTCCATTACGTGCACGTAATGCACAAATCGCAGCACCGAAGTGGCCAGTTCTAAAGTGGCAAGAGAGGCTCCCTTCTCTAGATATACGCAATAAGCTGACTGTATTCGATTTGGACGCAATTTCCAACCACACACGAATAATTTCTTATTTATGAACTATGTCGTTAATTTTACCAAGCTTCCAGTGCAGCATAATTGGCGGTAACCATGTGGGAGAAATTGAACGCAGAATGCCGCGATGAAGAGGACAATAATACAGCAAAAGAAAGAGTGATTTTCATTTTTTTTGATATACACAAAGAACTTTGGGCATTACGCAGGGTGTAATTCATATAAAAACAAAGGTATGCACAGCAGTAAACAACATATACCGTAACATTCCGAAAGATGCCCCACACCCGAAAGACAACCCACCCGTTTTTGGCACGATTTGCTATTCTTTCAAAAACACAAAAAGATAGCCCAGCCCACCTCTAGTCATTGGAGGGCTCTGGCCCATGGTGACCTCGGCAAAATTCGTGTTACCGTAGGCGCAGCGGGAGGTAAGTGAACATTGCAAACTGGGAAGGACGGTTTTCCACGCTCCATTGCCATAGAAAAAACCGAGGAGCAGCCGAGCCTTAATTTTCGATGTTTTGAGCAGAGCCTGCTCTTTTTCCTCAATGTGAAAAAAAGCTTGGCAGGTCACAGAATATAAAAGTAGCGTTCTTAAAAATTTTCTTGATTGCACACCGAAAGTTAACCCACTCCTCATTTTCACTACGCTTGCTCTCGCTTTTAGGTGGGCTACCTCTCGGGATATAACGGTACACAAAACACTGCTTAGCTAAAATATTCTTTTCTTGAAAGAAAATATTACTGGAAAACAGGCTGCATAAGTTTAATAACAATTAAGTCAATCTTTCTAGACGGGAAAAAAGGGCTTTATGCTGAGAAATGCGGGTCAGAGTCAAGACCTTTTACATTTGTGCTGTGCAACTGGAATTGTAAATAACACGTTTACCGACTGAGCCACATAATTTTAAAGGTCTATTTGCTCACTTCAGTAAATTAGGTGATATGAGGCAGCATCAAATAACAGAACTCACTCACAGCGCAGAAGCCAAATTGATTTGTCTATGCTGTTAGAATTCTGTATGAATGGCAAGAAAATATTACTGGATGATAGGTTATGTAAGTTTAATGGCGTCTAAGTAAAGCTTTACTGATGGGAAAAAGAGCCTTCTGCTGGGAAATGCGAGTCAGTACCAAGACCTTTTACATTTCGACTGTGCAACTCAAATTGTAAATAACACTTGTTTAACAACTGAGTCACATATTCTTGAAGGTCAGTGAATTTGGTGATATGAGGAAGCGTCAGATATCAAAACTTATTCGTAGCACAGGAGTCAAATGTATTTATTTGTGTAGAGTGTTAATAATTCTGTATGAATTCTAAGGTAGGAAATACATACACATATTAACAGTAGATCAAAAACAAAAAATGAAGGTGCAATGAAGGAAACTACACAACAAAGAAGTACTTAGTAGTGCATTATTCAAAGTACTCAGTGATACCAAACTACCAAATCTTTTAAGGAGCTTGTTCCATCTGCTCATAGTATTAGGGAAGAAGGAAACAAAATAGTCCCGTCCCATGACAATTCCATTAAACATCAAATATATCTCTCAAATATCATTTATAGACCCTGTTTCTTCTGTTAATTAAATAAAGTCTTCAAAATAGCTTTGAATGTTACTTCTGCAATCTACACCAACCATTTAAGTCTATACATAGAGGGTATTCAAGTCAATGAAATGATAAAAAAAGTCAATGATGCATTGAGAATTTTTTTTTGTAATGAATGAACAGATAATAACTTGTGAAAATTTTAAAGTAACAAAACAAAGTCAGTGTTCCACAAACAAAAGGAAGAACAAATTAAGAAATCTACTAAACTTTAAAAAAAAAAAAAACTAAACTTGCAGAACAAACATTTTTTTGATTCACGCATGTCACAAAATAAATTTTTTTCCCAAAAAGGTGTGTAAGAGATATTGGTGGTGCCTCAGCCCCCCAAGAATGAGTCACGATTCAAAAATGAGTCAGATTTGTTTTAGGGTTAGTGCTGGCACAAAAAGCATTTGAATGTGAAGTGCTGTGACATGCAATTTTTGTGTCGTTTACAAAATGCCTTTGTCATGTAAAAAGTGCTATGTAGGCCAGACAGAGAGGTGTCTGAATGACAGGCTAAGGAAGCATTCCTATTTACAATGGGGCAGGCACGTAGCCAGGATTTTGTTTCAGGGGGGGGGGGGGGGGGGGGGGGGCATGATAAACTGCTGTATGAGGGGGAGGGGGGAGAGGAGGTCTCAGCAAAATGGAAGATTTTGGGAAGGTGCCCGGGCCCGATGCCCCCCCCCCCCCCCCCCCCGGCTACGTGCCTGCAATGGGCCACGATAGTTCAAATTCTTCCTTTGCACTGCAGGGGCTGTCAGTGTATGCCTAACTTCAGCAGGGTCACTCTCTTCGAAGCACACAGGGAAAGAGTGACAAGGAAAATATTTGTCGCAACCTTTATTGCAAGCTTGGGGGAGAGGTGCACCAGCGAACTTTTTGTGGCTCTATCAGAAAAAAGGTGGTGTTCTCGAGGCCAGGAATGAATTGCATTGCGTACGGTTATTATCTCGGTGATAATGTGGTACTTGGATGGAAAGTCTATTTATTTGTTTATAACCCGATTAACTTACGTCGCTTGTTTTTTAAGTGCCTTTTCGTCTATTAGATTTTGGTCGAGAGTACACCGGTGTCCTGTCATGGTTGTGTCTTTTCTTCGTCTGCGTCTACTGAGCTGTTCATCTTCATCGTGTACGTTTACCAACTGGCCCAATTTGCTACCTTAGTAATTCATTACTTGCAGCTGAAGGTGTAAGGTATCTGCTCTATTTGGCTCTATGCCAGTGCTTAAGACACTGTCTTTCACTGAATTTTACAATGAGATTGCCGTGATAAGAGGCAATGCTCTTAACTGTCTTAGAAGGTTCAGCACCCTATGACACTCTAACCTATGATTTATAAAATGTACAAAACAAATGCACAAAATATGATGAATGTAAAACTGTGTAATGAAACCTCAAACGACGAGTATAGAGCCAACAAATACACCTAAATGCATGAAATGCTGCTTAAACAATGTAATTCAAACTGGGTAGCAAAAAATATGTATTAATTTGAATAGCATTACCTGCTCTTAGAGCTAGGTAATTTAATTTAATTACATTTCATACATATGTTACCCTTGTATATATGTGACAATTAAAGACTAGCATTAGAGAAGCTTTCAAGCGATACAGGTGCTATTTGGTTCCAATTATGTGCTAATCAAAATTAACATTTATTTAGAACAGTGGCTCCCGAATGGGGGTCCCGGACTCTTTTAGGTCTGCAAAGGCATTTTGAAGGGTCTGCTAAGCAATGCCTGATCACTCAAGCCCAGCAATAAGAGTCACATTTTTTTCAGATTGAGAAGAAACGTTCAAATTTTTGGGTGAGCTTTCTGATGTATATATCAATGAGAGAAGTATACTTAACACTAACACCTAGTTACATTCATTTATTAAACCATTATCATAATTAACCTATAACTTTCCCCTTCCCTCCCCACAAATGGCGCCCTCTATCATCTTCGCCAATCCACAAAGGGTCCACGAAACAGCAATGTTTGAGAACCGCTGAGTTAGAACATGGTCCACTCAAGTTGGACGGCACCTTAAGATGTGACTTTCAAACCACAAGGCTTTGTACATACTTCGGAATTAAAAACAGCGCGGAAAGACGAGGACCAGACAAAGAAGTGACACAGACGTAGCGCTACGTCCGTGTCACTTCTTTGTCTGGTCCTCGTCTTTCTGCGCTGTTTTTAATTCCGAAGTATGTACCAACTCGCCCAAGCCTCAACTTTAGCTTTGTACATAGTTGAACCGGTTAAAAGTTTTCAACGATTAACCGGTTCAACAAAAATTTATCAACTCATCTATTCCCCATGGGATTCCAGCTGGGAACGGCCTTCTCCAATCTAGTTATTATCACGGAAGCACAATTGTTCCGCGAAAATCTAATGCCATTTTTTAACATTACGCATTCTTTGGCTAGGTGTTCGGCATCTTGTGAAGCCTAGACAAAGGTGCAGCCTGTAAAAAGCATGGCTTTTCGAGTAAGGGGGAATAGGCCATCGCAATAAAAAGGGTTTGCACCAGGTGGGAACGGAACCAGACCATATAGTTAAGCGAATTATATTTTTCTCGGCATGTTACGACACATCACCGTAAGCTGAGATGACATTTGGCAGGAAAGCCCTGATGGGCATCCGCACTGCGTCCCGCAGGTACCAAGTTGACACCCTGTCACGTTTTCATGTGAAACATTCTTTGACTTGACTCGACAAGATACAAAACGTAGTACTGAGATATATCTACCGACGGTTTAATAGATTCGATTCCCCAACAGACATGTTACGTCTGTCCAAACTTCCCACCCTTACTCAACGACGAAAAATAGCTCGGTTAAAATTTCTCTATTCTCTTTATTTTCATAGATTGGGCATTCAGCCACAAAGTTATATTTCACAACTTGACACGCGCTCGACAAGGCATCATCATTCACTCACCTTAACCTCCATATTTGCAAGGACTAATCTTTACAAGAATTCTTTTTTTCCCAGAACCATTGAAGATTGGAATAAGTTGCCAAACGAAGCCTTCGAAACTGAGATATCTTTTTTGTTGTATCTTTAATACTAGCACCGTCATCACATTACAACCTATTTTCGTTTGCTGCTGTTGTTTTTTGCTTTTTGGAATTTATGTTTTTTTTCTCTAGGGGGCAGTCTGGTCCCAAACTGCAATTTTTTTTTGTTTTGTTTATGCGCACATTTGAAAACCTCTGTTATAAAGTGTTGTTTATGCTGTATGGTAAATTGTATAACGCAGCCTTATATGTACGCGTCTGTGTTCATGTGTTTTGCCGTATGTATTACTATTATATTTATTATGTATGCTATCCCTCCTGCTTGGGCCCATGTGGGGCCTGCAGTATATGTAAATAAAAAAAAAAAAAGGTGTTCAGCATCTCGTGAAGCCCCGATAAGGATGTGGCCGCGAGGCTTGACACCGATTGGTTGACGGTTGGGAAAGGAGGAGTGAGGTTGTCAACGCTGATTGGATAATGGGGAGGTCATGTGACTAGAGGAGTAGGCGAGGAGGAGCTTGACCACCTGTATGCACTGAGGGAGAGGAGCTCGAGAGTATGGAAGGCTGTGGAAGATCACCAGGTTTATCAGCCCGGTTAGCGCTAGTATCGCTTCATTCTAGGGACAACCATCAAGTGTACACATGCCATGCGTTAAACTATCTGATGAAGAATGCCCTGAACATAGGCGTCCGGAAACCCAGAGTATCGCTAGACGTTTCACGTATGCAACACTATTGCCTAGCAATTTACCGTACATTTGTTATCTACTGCATTCTCATAGTGAGGTAGATTGAAGATGTTTAATCTACTTCAGGTAGGAACTGGATATTTAATTAATTTGTTTCTCGTTGCATATGAAGTGTAACCACACATATTTATTTTGTTGTATGCATATTTTATTCTTGTTTAATTATTTTCTCTGTTAAATTCTGAGCATTACTTTTTTTTAAATTGATTTTGCGCTTTTGTTTTGTGCACTGCTTTGTTTATATCTTGAATATTTGTGGTTTCTTAGCCTCCCCTTACCATAACGTTTCCTTGCTATGCTCCATTATATAAAAGACGTAGATAAACACATCAAGAGGGCTAGAATGGACATTTACGTGTACGTCTTAAAGGTTCACGGCAGCGACGTATTGGCGTCGGATTGGCGGAGGCAATAACCTAGATAGCCACTTTTCTTTTTCATTGGCGCCTTTCAACTAGGAGGAGTAGCCAACGCCAACGACTCGGCTGACACGCGGATCTACGATAGCGGTCAGTGGGGAATAATTAGCTATCGCTTACTAATACTAATACACCAACGGGGTCACGAGATATCGCGGAAGTGGGTCAGCACTCGTCGCTGCAGGACGGAGCACATTTCAAAAAGCAGGGCATCAAAAATATGCGTAAGATCCAACATCTTACGTGACATAAACAAGAAAAAAAAACAACTGCTAGAATGTTTTTGTACCGTATTTTCATTTTAGGAAGGATCTTTTATTTTTGCGTTTTTATTTAAGTGTTTGTGCCGCATATCCCGAGAAGCCGCGACTGTTTTCTTTAACAAATACCGGCCGCTAACACAATGCAAGCGTCCGTTAACAAGTTGACAAACGTCGCGTAAAAAAATAAAAATAAAATAAGAAGAATAACACTTTAAAAGAGCCGTCCGCGCGCTCGAGCATGGAAATTTGTAAAACGCTGAGTTCTGAAGTAATCGCATAAATATTGCTGCAGAATAAAAAAAAAAAAAATAATAAAAAGGTGTAGGAATAAACAAAGCGACGAGGAGTCTCAAATGATAAATAGGCACAAAGATATAAAAAAAAAAGAAAAAAAAAAAACCTTTTAGAGCAACAAGGGTTTCTTCAGAACGAAAACAAGGAGAACAGCTGATAGCAATTGCGTTCAGAACACCCCCTTCTCTTGGCGCACTGTATCAGCTTATGGTTCCGGCTTTAGATCGAGGTATCCAGAACGGGGGATGGATGGGAAAGAACTCGAAGATACTCACACTTTAATTTTGAAATTGGTGTCCAAGTCACAGCTATAAATATGACGAAACGTTTGGAGCGACTCCGAATCGTCCGAGTACGCCGCCATTTTGTAATGCTTCCGTCACGCGGAGAATAGCCGTAACGTCATGAACGCCACAAAAATAAGAAATAAAACAAACTATATAGTGTAACTAGTATCATAAAAATTTTAGAAATTTATTATTGTAATTTAACTTAAACTTGAGCATTAAAGTGAATGAAAGCTTTTAGTAAACACGCCCGGCTATCTGCGGAGCTATTATCCCGTACAAAAGCGCAGACGACGTAGACAGTAGTAGACGGTAAAAACAGGTAGAGCGTTGAACGCGAAGAACAAACAAAAACGCCGCCGAGTTTGCAGTGGGGCGGCGGCATTTCCTCTTAAGAGCTTCTTTTCCCATTATTGTTTTGCATCCCTCTTACAGTGACAAGTTATCAGTCCCCCAAAAATTCCCACTTCAGAACGGGACCGCGCAAACACGGTTGAACGGTCGCATCCTCTCAGCACTGCGTGATGGCATTAAAAGGGATCAAAGTGTTGGAGATGGCCGGCTTGGCGCCGGGCCCCTTCTGCGGCATGGTCCTGCGGGACTTCGGAGCCACTGTCATCCGTGTGGATAGGGTAAGTCCGTCTGCAACGGACCTCAAATATAGTTCACGACTCGCTCAACCATGAGTCACGATACAGAAGTTTGCGAAACGGGTCTGTCACACGTGCGCAAAAGGCTTCTTTGAAACTGCGCATGCGTGAAGGCACCTTCCCCATCGGAGCTGTACCGATCGTTCGGGAAGCGATTCCCTAAAGTACTGATTTTATAGCCCAGGACTCAACTAGACGCGGACCGGCTCTGTCGAGGGAAACAATCGATCGTGATCAACATGAAGAACAAAGAGGGCATCTCTCTGATCAAGCGCATGGCAGGTGCATCGGATGTCTTGATCGAGCCTTTTAGGCCAGGTAAGGACATCTTTACTTCATCTGGAAACCAGGTATCATAACCTCGATTTATAGCGCCTTTTTCAAAACCTCATTGTGTGCGTGTGTGACATTGATAGCAACATCTTCTGTGTTAGCCAAATGGTATCTCACTTTTTAGTTCAACTACAAGTGATTAAATATATACGATCCACGAATTATTATACCTTGAACATAAAGCTTGCACGCACGTTCGTAGACGGTGGGCAAAACCTTGCTTGCTACATGCCATTTGGCAGTTCATTTATCGTATAGTAGAATTTTCTTTGGTGAAATGGTGCCTGTAATAATAATCTAGAAACATGTCTATTAACATTTATGACTACCGACACATTTAGTTAATTTCACATGTGTCTACCACTTGGAATGGAACGAGTGAAAGCCACATATCTTTTCTCTGTTTAGAGGATTAGGAACTTGTCAGACAACATTCCAGCATGTCTCAGCAAATGTCGAGATAAAGGAGGCACTTATCGTTGTGCGGTGCCATCACCGAGGTAAGACTGCAGTCGACAATGTCTGGCGAATGCAGGAGTGATGGAACGGGTTGGCCTTGGCCCCGACGTCCTGCTCCAGACAAACCCTCGCCTGGTCTACGCTCGGATAACGGGGTTTGGGCAGACGGGACCCTTCTCCATGATGGCCGGACACGACATCAACTACCTTGCCCTCTCCGGTACCCATCGTTGTCCTCGAACCGAAACACAAACTTCTTTTATCATAAAGAAACTCAAAACTCAATCCCTAAAAGCATTCTTTTTTTTTTAATCTGTTGTGAATGAACATCGTTTGTCATAAAATGAACTTTCTCCTAACAAACCCCAATCATTGTAAAACAAACTTTCCCTGAAAAAAAAAAAAAATATATGTTTACCGCATTGCTTACGTTACAAGGCACTTTTGAGTGTGTTGAGCGAAATAGAAGCATGCTGAAAATCACTCCCCTTTTCACAACCTACGCACTGACTATGAGGAATTTTTTGGTGTGTGTGAGAAGTTTGTTTTGTGACATATGTGTCCTCTCCAGGCAATTAAACAGAAAATTGGGAAGGTTCAGTGTCTTTTCAATACTCATAATAATATAAATAATAATGATAATCTTAGTTAAAAGTGCATCGTCTGACTGTTTGCTGCGCCATCCGAAGGTCAGTGCAGAAATGCTCCGCGTTTACAGGTGTGCTCTCCATGCTGGGAGAGCACGGCCGCAAACCCGTATTTCCTGTGAACGTGATAGCCGATTTCGGGGGCGGCGGACTTCTCGCCGCTCTCGGAATATGCATGGCTCTCCTGGAACGAACAAGGTCTGGCAGAGGTCAAGTGGTTGACACCAGCATGGCAAGTACCCGTTTCTGTCCTAGGTAGAAAGTTGTACGGAAGCCTCGCTAGGTGGCACGAGCTACCACCCGATTTAGTGGGTTCAGCCGTACGCATCCCTCTATTGATCTGTCCATGTGGGGGAGGGAGGGGAGCCTGGATCATTTTGGGAGAGTTTCGACGCCGAAACCTCTCCCCCCTCTGCCATTTCTGGCGAAAAATTCTATTTTCAGCCAAGAAATGCAGCCTCATCCTGTTGTCGCACACAGGTAGAAGGAGCCGCCTACCTCAGCAGTTTCCTGTGGAGAACCCGGAGTTCCAACATGGCGGTGCCCATCTGGATCGATGAGAGGGGAAAGAACATCCTGGACGGAGGAACCCACTTCTACAATGTCTACGAGACCAAGGACCGCAAGTACATGTCCGTCGGAGCCCTCGAGCCGAATTTCTACAAGGAGCTCCTCCTGGGTTCGTGGAGAAACCATTCTTTAACTGCCAATTTTTTCGCAAAGAGTATTGTTATGTAGTTTGGGGTTGGGGTGGTAACATAATGTTTTATTAACGTACAACAAGCGGTCGGAATGACAGCAGCTTTCCATCCTCGCGGTTCCGCAGTCAGCTCCCTCTGACGAGTTTCTTAGCCTTCCTCGGCAGCAGGTCGGTGGTGCCATCTAGTACTTGCATTCTCTCAAAATTAAGAAAAATTACTTAATTACCACGTGCACGCTACTTCTATACATACAAATCAGCTGCCTCGGTGGCCTCGAGACAAAGCGCCGGCCTACGGATCCTCAGGTGGCAGGTTCGAGTCCCGACTGAGGTGCCCGCAATCTGTCGGTGGCTTATTGCAGAGAATGCGCCGTGTAACCAGGCTTTGGCTTGCATGTCAAAAGTTCCCCAGGTGGTCGAAATTAATCCTCAGTCCTCCGCTGGGACGTGCCAGCTGCCTGTCGTTGGTTTGGCACATGAAACCGCCAAATGTGGCATTTCTATATAAATCCAGTCAAAGTTAGGTAGGACTCAAAAAGGGTGGCGATGTGGGTTAGTTGGTTCATACTGACGAAAAGGCAAACAGCGCGCAGTAAACGGGGACTAGAGGAAGTGCAAACAGGCAGCGCTTGTCCTGTTTGCACTTCCTCTAGTCCCCGTTTACTGCGCTCTGTTTGCCTTTTCGTAGGTAGGACTCCTCTTTTCTGCACTGAGACAAGTTCATGGATGTAGAAGGGAAGAAGCGGGAGCCAGCACACGCTGATGGATGGCACCCAGTTTATCTCCGTCAACCATAAGGCAGCCTCGACAGACTCCCTTTATAGCAGACAGATGTGTCGCTTGATATTGGCTGAAAGCCAGTGTCATGCGTGCAAAAAGGAGACTCAATTCTTACACGAGGCATTCAAATTATTTAATGAGAAATTTCCGCAGGCCTCGGGTTGGAGCCAGACACGATACCACAAATGGGCGACTGGGAGGAGTCGAAGCGGGTCTTTGCCGAAATCTTCGCAAGCAAGACGCAGGACGAGTGGTGCCGCATCTTCGACCAGAAGGACGCATGCGTCGTGCCGGTCCTTGATCACGATACGGCGCACAAGCATCCGCACAATGCGAGCCGCGAGGCCTTCCACGAATGCAGCGATGGTCCTCCGATACCGCGACCGGCTCCACGCCTAGACCGCACGCCCGCCGAACCGGACTACAAGGAGCCCCTGGTCGGAGAGCATTCCGTAGAGGTCTTGAAGGAGGCCGGACTGTCCGACGGCGAAATTAGGGCGCTCTTGCAGAGTGGCACCGTGGAAGCACCCGGCTTTGACCCGAACTCGAAGCTGTGAGAATATTTCAGGCATTACGGTAAAATACCAGGATGCTTTCACTGGAAACTGGGTTAATGTAGATGTGGGTGCTTGTCTGGTCCAATCGGGCGCTTAACGTATAATTTCCAAAATTCCCAAGTTTGGGAAAAGTCAATAGTGGGTGCTTAAATGAAGTAAATGCTTCTGTATTTTTTTTTTTTTTTTTTTTTTGTGGTAGGTTAGTTGAAGGTACCGGTCTGGGTGTATGACCTATAATGAAGCCTTACACTCTTTCCACTTTAGCAGTGCAAACGCTGGAGAGTAGAGAACTTTGTAAGAGGGAATTATCTTGCCTTTCCTAAACTGAAACAAACTTAGTGTCAATCTAGAAATTATGGTGCTACTAGGGCACCGCAAATGGCTACGTGTTCTGTGGTGCTCCTAGGCTTGGTCTCCCAGCATGAAAGTACGACGACAATTGTGTTTGCCCGTCGCATTGAGCCGGACGCAAGCCATTGCAGCAAGTAACACCCAAGGCTCCAGGACGTTATACACGATGAAGCAAACGAGGAATGTGGTCTACACACTATACTGGGTTTGTCGGTTCGACCAATTCGCAGTTCGTCTGGTGGAGGGCGAATTCCAAACACCCTGCTACTCAACTTGGTTGTCTGCGTCTCCGCCCGCCGTAGACCCTGGCAAGTTTCTTGGACCTATTAGGAGCGAAGCTCCTCAGAGTCTAGCCTTGTCCGGCGTCCGTGCTCACATCGATTGCCAGCCCATCTGTCTTCTTAAAAAAAAAAAAGAAAAAATGTTTGCACAATCGACAGGATTCAAAACTGTGCGGGGAGACCCAAATGGATTTCTAGTCCATCGCCTTAACCACTCGGCCACGACTGTGGGACGGGTAGGGGGCTCTGAGATGTGGTAGTAACTCAAGAGCTGGGGATGTCATGGATGAAACGTTGCATGTAGCCGCTCAAGGTCTATACAGGAGAGGGCGCTGCGGCCAAATGCGTATA